TATAAAAATACTTGGATTTCTATTAAAATATCATAAGGATTTTACTAAAGATAGAATGGTATTTTAAGAACTTATTGCTACAAAATATTAAATAGAAGAAATATAGATATTTCATGAATCATACTTTAAATAATGAGATTAAGAGAACTTCTTTATATATATTAAATTAAAAATATCTATATATTCATATATTATTCTAAATTTTTAATATATATAAATATATAAGAATATAGAATCATTTGCTTTCGAGATATTACTCATTTCGTTTTAAGTATTATATAATTTAATTTTCATCTGTGTATTCCATAGCTTGTAAATAACCTTCATAAGTGAAGTTTTCTTTATCATACATTAATATAGGCTATTCAAAAATAATTAAAGAAGCTTATGCTTATATTTGAAGTCTTAACCATTCTAAAGTTTATTTAGGTAATCCTTTTTTATCTTTAATATTCTAATATATTTATCCATGAAAATAAGTATAACATATATCTTTAATATCATCATCAATAAAATCATTTAAAAACCATTCAACTTTATCTTTTCTATTTTTATCTAATTTATCAGCTTTTGCTTTTGCTGTATTAAGTAATAAATTTAATTCATTTTAAACTTATTAATTATCTTATTTAACTTTATTGCAATAATTTTAAAATTCAAAACAAGATGTAATATAATCCCATTCATCTAAACCAAATGAATTAACTTTAGATTCTAATAATATTTCAATTTCTTTTCTTAATTATAACATTCTCTTAAATACTAAAAATAAAGGAATAACCCAGAAATTTTAAAGACCATTAAAAAAAGTAAGACATTTTGCAACTGTTTAACCAATAATATTAAGTGCATCCAAAGAACGATTATATTTCTAAGAAAATAGACTTAATTATTAAGTTGATCTTTTTATTAATTATATGTAATTCTCAGCATTACTAATTCTACTTTCATCTAAATTATTTTTTTACTATTAATTATCTTCCAAATCAGAACTATAAATAGCTTTGTATTATTCCATAGCATTTTCTGATTATTTATATAATTATTATAATTCATCTTAGTTTTTAGATTCTTTACTATAAACAACTTATTATTATCTATTTTAATCTGATTTTTAATTTTAAGATGATGAACTAAATCTTTATTTTGTTTACATTTTAATAGTATTACCTTAAACTGATGATATTCTGGCTCTAATTTTATCATAAAAGAATTCATTTTTTGTGAATGATTATGATATCTATTTTTAAGAACCTTATTAATATATTAATTCTTAACTATTATCATTTATTTTTCTAGATGAATCATATCCTGTATAAATTGTAGTATTTTAGGTCTAATTCCTAAAACTCTTTACTCCAGTATTACTATTATTTTATGATTTAATTTAAGGTTTTGGAAGTAGTTTAGTAGATGAAAAGAAGTTATTAAATTTATTACTACTATAAGTTTAAATCATTTAACGACTTTTATGAGATGATGACTTTTATCTACTCTATACTGATTAATATCTATTCCCAACTACATTTCTAACATTCTCTTAATGCATTTTCTACATATTACTAATCTTAGTTATTAAAGATTAATTTAATAAATTTTATTCAGATATCTTTTAATTCTTATTACAATTAGGTTATTAGACCAAATTTATAAGAGAATTAGAATCATCTCTACTACTTATTCTTGATGATGATCTACATTTCACTTCCATTCTATTTAATCTTATTTGAAAATCTTTTAATATCTACTTACATGCATTATCTTCTCTAAATGCTGAATGATATGGAATTTAATGCCATGGAATTGGATTTTCAGGATTCAAGAGTGATGTAATTAAATTTTACACTGTAGGTTTCTTATTAGAAATTAAAGATCCTATATCTAAACGACCTCCTTGCAACCAGTCTGATATATGTCTATGTACTTCATTAAGTATATATGTTCCTTATGTCATTACTAAATAGAGTATCCCAAGAGACCATTAATATGATGATCTACAAGGTTTTCCTTTCAATATTAATGGATTCCAATAGACACAATAATTTTCTTGTCTTTTTTTTAAACCGAAATCTAAAATTACTATTGAATCACCATTCTTAACAATATTTTCAATTGTGCAATCTCTAGGGGAAAAACCTTAATATAGATCATATCCAAAGTAAATCAACAATAGTTTCGACAAGTCACCATTAATCAGAAGCCATTATGAAACATTCTCTATTATCAAATCTGTATATGTATTCGTTCTTACAATCTACAAAATTGAAGGCAAGAGACCAATTTATGGTTTGAGCAACTTTGTCTCTGCATGAGGTTTAATTCTATGATAAGATTCCAAAAATGCTAATTCTTCATCTAAAAACCTTGTGTCATTCCATCGAGCAATAACTACTTATTCATCTGTTAACTTCAATCTACCCTTTAATGCAGACCATTATTCACATTACCAAATTGGAAATGTTATTGTATAAGGATGATTGGATTTCATTTATTTTATAATAAATTATTTTGTTTGAATTAATATCTAATATATAATTCAATATTGATAGAAATATTAGAATTATCTTAAGTTTAAAATAAAGAAAACTCTATTTGATATTAATAATAATATACTATATTAAATAAATTTTATAATTATTATCATATTTTTAGATAAATTAAATAAGGAAATAAAAGAATAGTACTTTCTTTAATAATTATTTCTTCATTATTAATCTACATAAATATTATACTTTATTCATTTTATTTTTTGTTTTATTAATATTCATAAATATTTGATTATAGTTAATTAGTTATAAATTTTTTATTTTTTAGAATTTCATACTAAGAAGTTGGAATTTCAAAAATTTTATATTTTTTATTTTAATTTATTTTTGATATATTTTTAAATATAAGAATAAGTTTCTAACTCATCATCTGTCTTAAAAAAATAATTAGTTTTTAAAGTCAAATACTATCTACAATTCAGTACTGACATTTCTAATCATTCATTATTTAAACATAATTAATTAGTGTCTTTTTAAATTATTTTTTATAAAATATGGGTGCCACATGCAAGTTTAGAGAAAGAGAAAAAGATATTATATCTCAGGATTCGCTATCAAGTTTACCAAACTTAAACTCTGAGCCAGATGCCTAAACTAACTTAAAATAAAAGGTATACGGTAAAAGTAAGAATTCCAGAAATGTTGCTAATACTCCTGAAAATATGAAAAGGCCTCATTTTTTTATAATTTATCCAAGAAATTAAAATTAAAGAAATGATTTAATACTACAACTCTAAGACCTTAATCGCAATAATAATTATTATATTGAAGAATACTCTTAAATGACAAGTTAATCAATAGAATCTAAATATGAAAGCAATTTTTCATTGAATGAAGTATCTGAAGGATCTTTCAATATTTTTCGTATATGAATGTACAATATTAGACAATGAAATTAGCTATGAATAAATGATGTAATCAGTTTTATTATCATAAATAACTTTTTGTATTTTTTTTTCTGTTGTTATCAAAATATCAAATTATACTCAAAAAATTGTGTTCAGTTCTTCAGATTGTTATAAAAAATGTAATATTGTTTAAGAATTAATGAAAACCATATTAGTATTGGATAAATTTATGCAGGTTTTCTTATCTAAAAGAATTTTAAAAATCAATTCAGCTAAGATTTATTAATTACTTGACAATAAGAATTTATATATATCATCTTAAAAGAACATCATTTCAGTTTATTATATAATATTATATAATATTTTTGAGATTATTTAAAGAACGATAATTTATCAGTGATATTCAATAAAATTTAAAATAAATTGAATCAATAAAATTTAAATAAGAAACTTGATACTTGAAACTTGAAAGCTTAATTATTATATGAAAACTGATACAATAATAATGTTTCTGAAGTATAATTTAATAATCTAATAATCTTAAAATATTATTTAATTATAAATAATTAATTTAATTAATAAAGGTGTTTAAATTCAATTATTGATTATTTCAATTAAGAATATTTCTTTATCTTTATATTATATGAAATATCTTAAAAATTATACAAAATACAATAAAAGAGTTTTTCATTGATTCTTATTTATGTTCCTTTAAGTAATGTCATAACATTTATAAGACTATGTCTTCCATTTTATAAATAAAAATATTAATTATATATGTTATTGATATCTAAAGTAAAAATTTAATATAATTTTAAATATTAATAAATATTAGGGAAAAATACAGTAATTATTTAATTTATACAATAAATAAATAATTTGAAGTTTAAGTCATAATGAAAATAGTATGTTTATAATAAGATCAATTCTTAGATATTACTTTATCTTTATCAAAACATAAATAGATGTTGTTTAATATCTAATATATTAATATTTTATAAGATGATACTTTTGAGATATATTTAATATCTTAGAGAGGTTGAATGTACTTTAGTTGTGAATTAAGCTAAGCTCTATTTATTAGTTAGTGTTTATAAATTGTAAAAAAAAATTAAAAAATGGATTAATTTTAGACAAGTGAAGGCAAGCTCTTATATATTACATACAATTTATATAAATCTAATCGTATTGGAATAGAGTAAAAAAATGAAATAAAAGGTGAGATGTATAAATAAATCATAGATATGTTAATAGCAAAAGATTTTAGAATATAATAAGTGATGTAAGAAATCAAGAATGAAACTAATCTACAAAAAATTGAAAGAATGTTAGAAAATATTAATGTATCATGATTTATTGAACATTAGCCAGAGGAACATAGTCCAAGAGATATTGATGACAATTTAAGTCATACTTATAAATAAAAAAGACCAAAGCTCTTTAAATTCTAAAAATCCAATTTCTCAAAATATATAGAAGCTAAAGCAAATGAAGATACTGATACTTTCTCATCATCCAATAAGTAATTAGAATTCAGATAAAGATTATATTCATTAGCAGCTGATTCTTGTTGATTTTTATAATATTAAAAATATGAATTATTTGTTCAAGCAAGAAGTACTAGGATTATATTTCTGATTGGTATTAGGATATCTAAAAAGAATAAACTGGCTGCCTAATATTGATCTTTTAAAGTAAGTTTTGATGACTAAGAATATAAAATCAATATATACTGTAGACACAAGTGATGTATCCCATACTAAGATTAATAAGAATACACTTAGAACAAAAAAAGTAAAATAACTAAAGAGGAAATCTCTTAAAATTAAAGCAATAATAATTCCAATAATTCCATTCTTCATTATCTTACTTGATATAACAAAATGAGTCTCAGCTACTTATTTATAGACATCTTAAACATCAAATAGTGATTTTAGTCTATTTATTGTCAAACACAAAAGTGATTAATTATGAATGATATATTTATTGTTTTACTAATGTTAATTAAATCTTTTTACTTGGAATAAGTTTTTATTAAGATGTAATAAATATACTTATATATAAAAAGCTAATAACAAATGTGGTATATAATTAGAACTATTAAAAGAGATAAAATCCAGTATTCCTTTTAGACCAATAATAATTATGGAGTAATTCAGAAACTTTTATGCTGTAGATTTGACTTCAAGTTACCATTTGAAGTATTTTTGATTCAAATAAAAAAATGAAATATTACCAATTAGATATATCAATAATAATCTGAAATAATCAAAACCAATATACCCTAAGATAATTTAATATATTATACATCTTGTTTAAGAGATTTAGTGTGTACAAACTTAGATGAATAGACTCATTAATGGATATGATAAATAGTGAAAAAGTCTCTATCTTTTTTTCTTAAATGATAAAAATAAAACTTACAAATAATTAATAATTTCTAAATACTGATTGTAAAATTAAAAATAAAGGATACATGATAAAAGAACAGTAATATAAGTTTGTATAAATTGTGTTTTCTTGGGAACCACCATTATTCAAAATATCTTATTTATTGTTGTATTAGTTTGGATATTCATACATTTATTAACATCTTCCATATGTTTCACAATAAGTATGAAAATTTACTTTACTTTTTGGAGTATATTTCACATAGAAGAACCATTTATTACTAAGTAAAAATGTTGAAATAAATATTATTATTAATTGCGTAATTAATAATCTATAAAAATATTATGATTCTTCTTTTTGATTTTTTATTTCAGTATTAGTATTTCCAGATCCTATCTATTCTTCTTGATTATATTTAGATGGTTCTTATAATGTGATTTGCTCTTAGAGGGCTGTCATTATGATTTTAAAAAGTAAAATAAATTATATTATAATCGTTGATATATAATTATAGATTTGATTGACGTGGCAATTTTATATCATAAGAAAATCATGAAATATGAATGGAAATAGAATGAATCATTGTAGTAAATGCTATTGGCAATTGAAATATTAAATAACATTATTCAATCATCACTTTAAGGAGCTTCTTAATTTGATTCATCTTTTGGCACTCTTATTACTAAAAGAGGTACCTAATGATCTTTGACTTAATCAAATTAATTGAAGTTTCTTTAATTGCATTTCATTTGATTGATCCATCTAGTTAACTAATATATAAATACCTTAAATATTCCTTTTATGCTATTGTATACTCTTAATAAGCAATTTAAAGATATTTAAGATTTGATGCTTTAAGTCCAGAGGTTTCAAATTCTAGCTCAGGGAATTTCCTTGTTAATATTTTCATATCTTATTATTTAGTAACGTTTTTTGGGGATAGACATCTATTTTATTATTTTTTTGGTAATCTTCTTCGATTTTCTTCATTTTCTTATTCTTATTCAACTTCTTAAAGTATTTTATTTAGATCAATAAAAGAAGAAAAACTCTAATAGAATTCAGAATCAATAGGAGAATTTTCAGGTACTTATTCATCCTCTACTTTTTGATTACCATCATCAAGTGATTTCATAGAATTATTGGGTCTTTCTGCAAATCCTATGGCACTTTAAGCTTTGCTAACTTAAGATTAAAAACTGATTTCTGGTAATTCACTCTTTCTAGATGAATTTTTAAGAGTAGTTGAATCTTATTCATTTTATTTTTCGTTTTGTAATTATTATTCTTTTTTTTCTTTTGCTTTTTTTCTAATGAGTTTAGCTTTAAGACTTCTTTCTTAGATTACTTTTTAAACGTATTGTTTTCCTCCATTATATAATTAAAATTATTAGTAAATCTTTCTAATAATTTAAATGATATATGAATATTTGAGATATATCATATCATTAATTAATTGATCTCTTTCTTTTTATGAATAATCTTTAAAAAATGCATATTATAATTCTTTATTAATATCTCTAATTTTTTCAAATCCAGATTATAAAGATCTATGACGATGTTAAATTCTATAAATTAATAGATGTATAAATGTATTTCTAACTAAAGGACTCCAATGCATGAATATTTTAAAAAATAAATCAGTACTAAATAAGAAATCACATAATTCTTTTTTGGGTTCAGCTATATTAATATTGTTTAATAATTATTACTTGTTATTAAATGAAAATTATTATATAAGATTTATAAACTCTTACTAATAGAGACAGCATGATCTCCATTTAAGATTAATTTGATTCCCTTGAAGAAAAATGAATAATCAAAATTAGTAGGTAAAACATGGTAATTTTGATTAACTTTTTATAACCAAACATCTACAATATTTAAAGTATTAAACACTTAAATTGCATCATACAATCTTGTTTAATTGAATAATATATGAATAAATTTACTAAGCAACATAGAATTGTTGATAATTGCACATGATGCTTCAATAAATTTATGATTTTTTAATTAGATATTAGATAGTAACAATTATACTATTTCATCATATCCTTATATATTTTACCAATTTACATTAAATCCAAATTTACATTAAACAAAATTAACCCATTATATTACAAAAGGATAATAAAAATGTACTATTTATTTATCAGGCATTTCTAATTTTAATGATTCTAATTCTTTTTTTAATTATTATCCTTTTTCATTTTAAAATGCTTATTCATAAAATTTATGAATTGAAATATTTTCTATTTCTGGAAATAATGCTTGTTTAAATTATGGTACTCTAAAGTAGGAGAGTACAGCAAATTTAACAAAAAAATCATGTTCTTTATTTGAACAAGAAGTATCAACAACTCTTTATAAACAAAGAGGCATAACTTTAATCATTAAAGTGACAAATAATTAAGCATTATGAATACGTTCTATTTAAGTATCAATACTTAAATGATCTAAATCCATATCATCTCTATAAATAAGTTCACTTAGTACAGTAAAACATATTTCTTTAACCATTTCTGTTTATTATTTACTACTCTATTCTAATAAGTATTTCCATAATTTTATTTATACTGATTAACTATGTAACATATCATCAACACTTTAATATTTAATATTATGATTTTCAGCCAAAGTTGATAGAATTTCATTTCTTATTTTTTCAGAATCTTTAATCTTTTTATCTCTCATAGTCTATGATAATGTTTCTACTTTTATTTATAATCCAATTAACCAATCAACTTCCTTATTTGTATTATTTTTAGATTTAGCTTTCTTTAATAATAAAGTAGATTAATTAACTATTCCTGTTTCTGTTTTTACTCCACTACATTAACTAACATATTAATTAGATCTAATAATAAATGTCCCTGCCCAATTACCAATATATGTACCATCAGAAATCAATTATTCATTTAATTATGCTTCTTAAATTAAGAGTGTATCAGTCTATGCAATTTAAGATGTATTATCATAAAAGAATTTATTAAAACTAATATATGTACTACCAATTCTTTTATATTCTTCTTATTTTGTTTATTTATTAGCATAAAGTACAAAAACAAATGTAGTTATTTGAAAATCATCTGCAAATATATCAAATTCCATAAATGGAGAATCTTCTGTTCTGAATTCCCAAAGTATTTCATTTTTTGCTTCTAATGCTTTTTTAGTTGAAACATGTCTTTATGAACCACCTTTAATATGTTGATATTTATATGGAACATCATCATTTTATGAATAGGTTGGATTCATATATTTGGGAGAGATTGCTGATTGAGATTCATTTTCTTAAGATTTAATTTTTAATAGAAAACTATAAGCTATATCACCTAATTGTTCTTCTAAGATACAACGAATATGTTTAGTATTAATCTTAAAATGCAATCTTTAAGCTACTTTGATATCAAAAATAATAGAGGATTAGTTCTAAATTATTAAATAACATTTACACTAAACAAAATATCATGATGTTATGGTCCACTGGCAATTTCATATATTGTATATTTGATCTTATAATGAACCTTGTCTGAATCATCAAGGATTTGCTTATTTGGATATTTGAATATTGTACTAGTGTAAAGTATTGAGTTTGCATACTTTGAGGATCTATGTGCAAATCAAAAGTAAAGGTTTAGGGCCACTATACTAAAGGAGTAAGAGTACATGTGGATTTTTGGTATATCTTATCATGGTGGTCTTATGAAGATGTTCATTGACTTTTACAATCACATATGCACTTTACTGTTGTATATTTTTAACCTTGATACCAGAAATTACCATTCTAAACATTAGATTTTATTATCCAAATCTAATATCATTTAGATGCTACTTTCTTGTCTAGTGAGAATAACATGCAGTTCCCATTATTAATTTATATTATATTATGAATTACTCAATATTTCAATTTGGCAAATTTTAATACAATCTTCTCTTCATGTACTTCTTCAAATCTCTATCTAACCATCTATTCAAGTTGATTCACCAATTAAATTTCATTTCTTCTTGATTGAGTACCATAATTATATTCAGTTTAAAAAGTTGAACATAAAGCTTGAGCTTATTCTAATAATTATTGATTTCTTTATTGTTTTGATTAAGCAGTATTTGATACAGCTTATTGAACTCCAATACAAGTTTATAATTTATCTAATTTAATTTATTATTTTTCATATTATTATTGTAATCTTTATAAAACTTTGTTTACTTTCTCTTTTTATAAATTAAATAAAGCAACACTTTAACTATTTGATTCTATAAATTAATTATATGCATTATTAATTGTGGATTTCAAATCATTAAGTAAATGCTCAACTTATTAAAGTAAACTCAAATCAATTGACTCTCCTTAATTTGCTAATTATATAAATGCATTAAAAATTGGAGCATATATTGAAGTTTTATTAATATCAAAAGATGTTTACAACATGCGTTGACTTACCTTACTTAATTCTGAAAAACTTCTATATCCAAATGATATTCCTTCTAATATTGTCAAAGCTTCTTCTATGGAATTTAATGAATCCTCATATTAACGGCTTCTCTTTTTAAAATACCCTTATTCTGCTGTTTACAATATAGTATTTAAATGTTACTAAAAAGTATTTTCTTGTTACTAATTAATCTACTGTTAATTAATTGTTCTCTATTTTGAATATTGACAAGCCTTTAATTGAGCATTAGAGTCTCTAAAAGTATTTTTTGAGTTTTGAATTTCAGCATTTCTAAAATCATATTCACTTTAACATTCATTTAATTCCACATTAAAGATTTAATCGTGTTTGACTTATTCTTCATTGACAGAATCTCTAAATAATGTAAGTATATTTAAAACAGCATCTAATGGAGAATGAGATTTTATCTTCATTTCCACTTCAGCCATTACAGAAGTGATCGATCTCTATTTAGTGTAATTAAGTCTTTATTGATGATTTGTACCAGAAACTATAACTAAGATCAATAAGAGAGCAAAGATCTTCATTAAATTAAATAGGTAAAAACGATTTAATTCATTTCAATAAATAAAACAAATCACTTAACCAAATATCCTTTATCATTATTTAAATATCAATAATATTTTAATTCTATAATTATTCATATATATATATATATATATTTTATTTTCCAGAACTTAACATCTATTACATATAAATAAAAAATTAACCTTATTAAATTCATTTCATAAACATACTACATAAAGAATAAGGATGATTTAAAATTTTATATAATAAAATTATATAATACTAAAATAGATTCTTAATTCGATTGAATTAATAATATGTTTGAATATACTTTTTTTAAGGAATTCATTACATTTAATTAAAATTGTATCTCATAATATTACACAAATTTAAATAATTACCTCAAATATGTCAAATCTCTAAGTACAACTAATTAAGAAGCCTGATGCCAAATATCCTAGAGTGAATGATGTTTTCTAAGTTAAGACAACATCAACACCAACTACTAATCAACTTAAAGATGGTGAAGTATTGTTGGAAAATCTATACTTCTCAATTGATGCAACAATGAGAGTATGGATTAGTGGGTATTTATTATAATATTAAATCATATTAGTGCTAAGACTTATGTAGATCCAGTCCTTCCTGGTAATACTATGTTTGGTTAAGCTGTGTCTAAAGTTCTAGCTTCAAAGAGTGAAAAATTCTAAAAAGGGGATTATGTGATTGGTCTTGTTAATTGGACACTCTATTAAATTATTAGTGATGCCAAACTACATCTTGTTAAGAGAGGAGGAGACATTGATGATTTGACTGGATATTCATTCTTAGGTCCATTAGGAATCAGTGGATTGACAGCTTATATTGGATTTGAAGCTATTGGTAAACCAAAAGAGGGAGAAACTGTTGTTATCTCTGCAGCTGCTGGAGCTGTTGGAGAAATTGCAGTCTAATTAGCAAAAACATATTACAAATGTAAAGTTATTGGAATTGCCGGTGGTCCAGAAAAATGTGATTATGTTAAGAAATAATTGGGTGCACATGATTGTATTGATTACAAAAATGAAAATCTTAGTAAAAGACTAAGAGAATTAACACCCAATGGAATACATGTTTATTTTGATAATGTTGGTGGAGAAATGCTCGATGAAATATTGATGCATATTACAGATCATACTAGAATTATTCTTTGTGGAGCTATTGCCACATATAATTAAACTGGAGGTAAATTAATTTTAATTATCTATCTAGAACCATATAAAGTGAAGAATTACCCTAGATTAATTATAAAAAGAGCAGTCATGTAAGGTTTCCTTTATTTTGATCATCCTGAATTATTCAAACCAGCATAAGCAACTATAACTTAAATGATCAAATAAGGATAATTGAAAGTAAAAGATATTATGTAAATATGTTTAGATAAGATATGATGTTCAAAATGGATTAGAATAAGCTCCAAATGGATTAGCTAAATTATTATTAGGTTAAAATAATGGTAAAGTAGTAGTGAAAGCAAAATCAGATCAACCAAAGCTTTGATTATTTGAGTATATATAACAAATGTTAGATTAATAATATTATTTATATTCTTTAATATCAATTAAAATTAATATTGCGTATTAAAATTGATTAATATTATAATTATTATGTAATATATTGAATTAATATTAATTATATTATAATTGTAATTAATTAATTAGTCTTCAAAAATCTAGATTATAAATGTATTTTTTTAATCTAAATTGAAATTAGGTTTAGATGAAAGAAAGAGATAAAAGATATAAAAATATTTTCAAATAATTTATCAATTTTTAACCTATATCAATTTAAGTTCTTTTATTTTCAATTTAAATGATTTCTGAATTAAATTTACAACAATCATCTTGGTTATATTATATGTTTCATAAAAACTTGATTAATTAAAATGAAATAAGACAAATAAGTTCAAGATATTAAATCACTAATTTAAATAATCATCATAAGATAATCTTAATTGAAATTCAAAAATAATACTCAACTTTGAAATCTTAATATTTGTAAAGAGATATTATGCTTAGAATAACTTAATAATGCTAACTCATAGTTGATGGTTGCATTTCGTGACATCATAAATACATTATATATATATTATTAAATAATTGTAATGATAATTTTACATATATAAAAATTTAGATTATACTAACTTTAACTTGATTATGCTTGCATCTATTGAGATTTTAACTAAAAAAGAAAGACTAAAAATAAGTCAAGATTCATAAAGGAAAAAATTCAAATTAACAGGACAAACCATTTTGAAAGGTGATCATATTTCTAATTATGACTTTTCTAAAAGACTCTCTAATGAAAGTAAAATTATTAACCTAAAGTTATAGGTGATAATGGAAATCAATAGGCCTTACTTATGAAAATAGGGTATTCAGTTGCAGATGATCATAATTAAGATTATGAACGAAGAAATAGAGGTTATTCAATTTCAACAGATATTTAATCAGGAAATAGATTAGCAACCCTTAAATCTGATAGTAACACAATTGTAAAAAGAGGTTAAAGTACAGAAATGAATAATAATTCCTAATTTATGAATTGTCAAAGAACCAATATATACAATGCAAGAACAATAAGAAAAACATTTTAATATGATGATTCTGATAGTGGTTTAGAGAATCTAAATGATAATACAAACAAAAAGATTGATAATAATACTTAAATAATTAATAAATAGATTAGTTTCGAAAAAGAAAAAATATCAAATATTCCTACTATGATTAAATTTAAGTTTTAAAGAATTAGAAGATGTTTTCAAATAATTAAAGCTTTATTTAGAATGAAGACACTTTGCAAGTATAATTATATTAAAATCTTAGACAAAAGAAATCCTCTTGGGCATTAAAATAAGATATTTTAAGAAGAAATCAAAGATCACTAAAATTTAATGAAAGTCTTACCATGATAAAAATCAAATAATGGACATATATGGTTTTTTCAAAGATGATTTCAATAATATAATAAAAAAAATTAGATAAATGCAAACTTAATTTCATTGTAATTTTTATCTTTTATATTATAAGGACAATCCTGAGAGTATGTCATTATTAGAAAAAGATTAAGCAATCATTTTTATATTAAATATCTTAACTTTTTCAATGTCTAATTTAGTTATAATGTCATCAAGTACTAATTTATTAAAAGAATTATAAATCATAATGTATCAAGAACAATTTTTTGAATACAGAAAAATATTTAGTAAATTTGTTAGTTAAAGAGCTAATTATATCAATTAACAATATTAAGAATTAAATCAATAAGAAAAATAAATAATCTTATCAGAATGTATTATAATCAATTATTTGATTACAAGTTTAGTTAAATTAACAGAAAGTATAGATATTTTGAAATGTAATAAATCAAGTATTGAATTTTTAATTAGATGTTTGATTTCTTTAATTCAGTATTTTTTTATTCAACACTTTATAAATTTTCCTAAAATTGAGATGAAAAATTAAAAAATTACTTTCTCATAATATTAATTAGGAAAAAATAGTACTTCGATAATAATTCTGTAAACTAATCAAATTAAATCAGATGATCTGATTTTTGGTACTTACACTGAATAACAGCTAAAAGATTTTATTAGTAAAGATAATTGGTTAGAGGCAAATAAAAAGAAAATGAGCCAAATAGTTACTAATTTAAATAGTGTATTCTGATTAAAGACTATCTATATATTTTATATAATTTTCTATAATAATTACAATATTTATATAATTAATCATCAAATCAATTAAAAACAGGGAAAGTATCCATAATCATCAATCTCTTTAATTTCTTTTGGAAGTGAATATTGATTAAATTTTGGAAATTAGAATTTCAAGTATTAATTATTATCAGTTAATTTTTAAAATGAAACACTATAAGATTGTATATCTAATATTGTTAAACTGATAGTAAATACTTAACCAGAAATCAATCTGAATTATTCAGGTAATTTAATGTAGTAACAATAAGGAATAGGTTTCTCTAATTAATTGTGATTAATAACAGTTTGAAATTCATAAGCTCTTATTGCCAAATCATATCCTAAATGAATTTTATAGAGACATTTTAATTATTATGATTGATAATCTATGTCTTTATTTTTATATAGGAAAGGTTAATAAAAGCCAAGTAGTTCACAAGTTTATTCAACAAGAAAATTGCAAACAAACATTTTATTATTTTTTAATGGTTTTATAGTTAAGGTACCATCACTATCTTTAGCAACTTATTCATATCGTTTAATAATTTAAATTAATTTATTTTGGCTTTATTTATTGTTTGTTGTTTCTTTTTTAATTTCAAATGTTTATTACATTGATTATACTAATTTTTATAGAGTATTTATTGCCATAATCATCTATGGTTTTGCAGTATCATACTTTTATAACAATTCATTGCTTTAAAGTTTTTATAGATTTAAATCATAAGTACAATTATCATGTAATTTATCAATAATCTTTTTGAATGTTTCATAATTCAATTAAGTTTTTAGATTAACACATTAATTGTATATTTCCTTAATTGAATTATTTTCATTGAGTAAAGCAATAGAATCTTTTAATTATTTTTCAATATCATTTAATCTGTTCATCAATTCTTGTTTGTATTTAAGAAAATGATCCAATATTTCTTAAGTCAATGGATTATTAATTGATTTATTGATTTAAATATTTCTTTGTAAAAAGTCTTAAATTTATAGAAGTGTAAAAATAAAATTAGGATGTTGATCATGTTGTGATTTACATTTTAGACAAATTAGTGAATTTTCTTTGCATTTAGGATTCATACAAATTTATATAATAGGCTTTTTATCATGTTCATATTTAGGACATTGTATTTTTGAACCTTATTATTCTAATGTTAACATATTAAAATTAAAATGAAATACACTTAATACATATTGAAAAATCTCATCCCTGAATGGATTAAATTATATCTCAACTTCAAATATTTGAAAACACATTTGGCAGTAGTTACCAAATTAAAGAAGTTGTTAAGGAAAGCCAAAAAATTAAAACCTAAAGATGTCTATTAATAACTGAAATATGACGTAGCATCTAATAAATAGCTATTCGAAAAGTTAGAGTAGGATCGTAATGATTTTATGATTGTATTTGATGAAGAATCAGAATAAATTTATAGTTTTACAGAGTGGAAGTATAGGGAATTACTCATTTTTTTTGAGAAATTAGATAGATAGATGAAAATTATGTAATAAATGGCAGATTATACATATGAAGAAAGGATTATAGTAACTTGGAATATGGGTTAGAATATTAAGGAAAATCCAAGTGAAGAAGCTGTTGAGGTAAGAGTTTATTTGAAATAAAAAGAAGAGCTTTTAGAAACAAGTTTTAAATTTTATAATGAATGCTAATAATTGTAATCTTATATTTCATTGAATTCTGAAGGTATTCGTAAGATTCTAAAGAAATATAAAAAGTAAGAGCTAAAAGGTATTAGAAATAAGGAAATAGAAATACAATATTTTGGGAATGTATCACAATTACAAAAGAAATTGAAAAAATATGAAACAAAAATCAATATTTTAAAATCAGATACATAATCTCTTATGATTAATTATTTTTATGCTGATGAGTATGTATAAATTTATACTAATATAGTCCGAGTGAATGTAGAGATCTCATTAGAAAATATACAGAAAAAGGATAGATCAATTTGAAAACAGTATTTTATTTTGGATTTTTTGCAGGAGCAGCTGTGATGATAATTCTAATCATATTAGGAATGAGATTTGATGGTCTTTTAGATCCTAATTCAGATAAAGTATTTAATAAAGCATTTCCGTGTTTTAGAGGAATGGCATTATTTATAATTTATTATTGGTTCATTACTTTAGATTTAGCAGGTTGGAATTATTTTAATATAAATTACAAAGTCTATTTAGGTTTTAATCATCATTTCTCTACAGTTCAAGAGTTATTACAAAGAGTTAGTATATTTACTGCTATATTTTTGGTTACTTTCTTATGGTATTGTATTGCAGTAGAAGACTCATTAGGTGATTTATCTAGAGCTGTTTAAATATTTGATATAAGATATTTACCAATATTATGTTGGATTGTATCCATTCTCTATGTATTTTATCCAACAACTAAATATTTCAATCCTTAAGGTAGGAAATGGATGTATAAAATGTTTTATGGTGCACTATGGGGACATTTTATAAAGTATGAATCTAGATACACATTTTTTACAGATTAATTCACATCTATGATAACATCTATGAGAGATTTTGATTATACAATCTGTTATTATCATCATTTTGTAAATTTTATATTAAATAATAGATATTTTTAGGTCAAGAACATAATGGTGAATGTAATTTTTAAAGAAGGTTTACTGCAGCTTAAGCCAGTATAATACCTTATTTTTTAAAATGTATTTAATATTTGACTCGAGCTAGAGACAAGGGAAAGTTTTTATTTACAGATGAAATGTATAATTTTATTAAAACATCAATTGCAATGTCAGTAGGAATTCTAGCTTATTTGACTCGATTAGATATAAGTTGGAAAAATTATTGGATAGCAGTAGCATGTTTTTGTTCTTGTTTTGAATATTATTGGGATCTAAAAAAAGATTTTATGTTTTTTGAAAAAGGAACTAAATATAAATTCTTAAGAAGTGATTTAGGTTATAATAGTCCATATATTTATTATACTTTGGGAATTTTAAATTTCTTTTTAAGAATTGCATGGGTATTAACAATATCACCTGATATGTATAGAATAATAGGAATTAAAAATGAAATGTTTGTATTATGTTTTGGATTTTTAGAAATGAGTAGAAGATTGGTTAATAATTTTCTTAAAATGGAAAAAGAACATATAAATAATTTAAGATCTTTAAAGAGTATTTCAGATTTGAAATTTCCATTTAAAGAGAAAAAGGATTTGGAATTAGAAGAAATTAAAAGTGTATATGATGTAGAATCTATATCTACTTTACCTAGAGTTAGTATTGGAGAATAACATTATGATTAATAGGAAGCTTAATAATATGATTCAAATGAGAGAAATAATCTTAAATTATCAGAATTTAATCCAAAAATAGTCATCAATTAATGTGATGATTCAAAAGAGGAGATACATAGTCCTATTAAAATGTTGTAATCTCCAAAACATTCTATGTTTAGTAAGTAAAATAAAAAGGTTTCTTTCTTAAATTTATAATTTCCATAATAAGAAGAACCTTCTTTATAATAATAATAATCTGTTATCTCTAAAAAGTAGAGTATTTTAGTTGATAGATAATTCTAAGATATTAAAATTCCAAGAAACATTTCCTTTGAAAATTATTTGAATTTTAAATAAAGTTTAAGGAGAATCAATTCATTTAGATTAACACAATTTTTAGAGTAACCAAAAGATACACAAATTAATGTTCATGATTATGCTGATATTCATCCAAATATGGATTTAGTAGAAAAGGCTAAAAAGGAAGAAATTCAAATGCAATCAAAATAAAAGAAATTAAAAAATGAAAATAAATAATATTTAAAGGTAATGTATATATTATTATATTTAATAGATGATTGAATAATATTATGAAAAATATGACATAAAATTGAAGCATGGATGAATGATGTGTATATAAAATCAAATATTAATTATAAATCTCATCATATTTGAAATATCTCATTCTATTCTATTTCAAATATTAATCAATATAATTTACATTAAAATGTAAACAGAGAAAACTCTACCTAAAACAAAAGCAGCATAATTATAAGAAGAAACCAATAAATTATAAAAGAGGATAAAATTAAAAAAAATAATATCAAGATTAATTAGATAGTACAAAGAAGAGAGTGTAATCTTTTATTATTATCTGAAGGGGTAATATAACTACACTTCCATATTTAGTGGCAAATATTGTGGAACTATTGAATTTTGAGGCAGAAGATAAAGATTACAGTTATTTATAATCAATCTGTAACAGATGATTATTCAACAATCTCTGGAAATGGTGTTGTTATCAAGACTACAACTAAATAAATATGATGACTAGAGCATGTGCTGCTTAAAAAAAGGATAAATTCTTGAAATTGGCTGGACCTAAATTAGTATAAATATATACAGGAGATGGAGTTAAAATGGTTAGAGAGGCATTTTCATTAAAAGCACCTACCATTTATCTTTATTGATGAATTAGATCCTATTGGAACAAAATGATATGAAAGTGATAAAAATGGTGATAGAGAAGTATAAAGAACTATGCTTGAATTATTGGATCAACTTGATGGATTTAGTCCTGATTATAGAATTAAAGTATTTTTTAATTGTAATATTTATAGTTCATTTCTGCAACCAATAGACTTGATATTTTAGATCCAGCCTTGTTAAGATCAGGTAGATTGGATAGATAGATTGAATTCCCAATTCCAAATGAAGAATCTAGAGCATAAATTTTAAAGATTCATACTAGAAAGATGTCTTTTGCTAAAGAAACTGTTAATTATTTAGGAGTTGCTAGAAGTACTGATGAATTTAATGATGTTTAATTGCAAGCTGTCTGGTATGATAGAATTGAATAGAGGAGGAACATTCTTATTTCATAAAGATTTTGTTGAAAGTAATGCTTTAGTGCAAGCCAAAAAGAAAAGTAGTAAAATTACTATGCATGAATTGTATTTCAATATGTATATGAGTATTTTATATTTGAACTATTTATTGTGTATTTAGTAATTATTGATTCCTAAAAATGCCTTATTAAACCAGTATCAAAATTTAATAATATATATAAATAGATGGAAAAATAATAAATCAGCATATAGTTTACTTACATTCCTACTGAAGAAGAGAAATCAAAGGATTTAGAAAAATAATTAGATTTAACTACTAAATAATTGTTACATCCTAAACTTAAATGGACTGCTATATTCTTAGCATTACTTTCAGCTATTCTGTATTCAATTGGGTTTTTATAATTAAACATATTTTAAGAGCATTCATCCAAATTCATTTTGAAGAAGACTCAACTGCCCTTTATTTGATTGCCTCTCTTTGTCTATTGCCTCTCATCTATTGCTTATTCAAAGTATGTAAAAAAAAAGAAGATTTATGACTAATCAATATTTATAATGTCTTTTTATCCTAAATCTTAAAATATCATTTATTACCTTATAGACAGTAATATATTGTAATCATGAGGATATTACATAATATTATTAATATCATCATAGAATAATACTATTTTAACAATTATAATTATTGTTTTTAAAATAATTAATATTTTTCAAATATATAAAATATATAGTTTTATTTTGAATATTTATATTTAAGTATTAATGCAGCATTTAATCTAGTAAAATGGATATAATTACTTCACTTAAACAATTAACAATTCTGAATTCATATTTATTTATATTTAATAGATATTCTTTATCAAGATTTACATATTTAAATCTAACCTATTATGTAATTAAATTATAGAATTTTAATATAATATAATTATTATCCTTATTTGATGATTAGTGATCTCAGATGCTAAAATGTAGGCCATGAAAATGAAAAAATACATGGAGTCTGTACTGATCCAGATTGTTAACAAAAGAGACCTTTTTGTATTGGTTGTAAATTTGAATTACATTCAACACATACAACTTAATTAAGAAAATTTGATGATTTGAATAATTGGATTAATGAAAATAACACAATAACAAAGAACTTACAGAAACTTTTAGAATAATTAAATGAAATTGTATATTCAATAAAAAAATCGATTGAGACTACATAATAGTGTCATAATTTTAATTTTACTCAAATGAATTACGCTACTTTAGACAATACTATAAATAATTTGATAAAATCTTGGAAGAGTTAAAACGAGATTTATTACCTTGTAGAAAAAATGATATAATCATCAATTACTTAAACAACAATATAAAGCATAAATGCTTGTTTAAACAATTAACCAAGTATATTTAATATTATAAATAGATCGATTATTTAATACATTAACAAAATAACCAGAAAATTAATAAAATTATAGATAATTTATAATTTAAAACAATAATTAACCATAAACTTCTTAAATTCCTTAACAAAATTAACTCTTAATTTAGAATAACATGAAAAATCCATGTATTCAAAATTAAGATAAAAATAATATATAATAATTCAAATAGGATGGTTCTAAATTAATAATTAATTTTAATAATCAAAAAGAAGGACAGGCATAAAAAATTTAATTAAATACCATTTAAAAGTAGAATCCAATCAATAATTAATTTCCAAATAGATTCTAATGAATGGGCAATTCAAATACTAATTTTTAAATTGAAAAAATTATATAACTATGAATTAAGTTATATATTCAGAGACAAAATATTCTTATTAATTATAAAATTATCATTTATTATCATTTTTTAATAGTTATGAGAATAAAATGAATCTTTTTTCATATTATCATAATTCTTATTTATATATCAATTTGAAAACATATGCTGTTTCCTATTTTTTATATAAAAAATTGCATAATTAACTTTTTAAAATTATTTATCAACTACAAAATTACTACATCAAATGAAGAATCCATGAAATCTTTAATTTTTATATCAAATAAATTTACAATACTTTTAAAATTATTCTAGAAGTTATATAAATTATGATATAATTTTATTTTTTTTAATATAATGATGAAATGGATTTATTTTCATTTTTTAAAATTAAAACCAGAGAAATAAAACTTAGTTAATTCTTAATGATATTAATTTTAGAAAGTAATGCATCAAATTAATACTATTATTATATTTGTATAAAACAACTTATAAATTTTGATTAAGAAACTTATAAAATGAATCAAACAATTAATCTTTTCACTTATTTTATCATTTGATTGTTATCCTTTAGATATGAATTCTCTTTTCATTTTATTAAAAATATTTGTTCATAAAATTATAAATAATAAATATTTGATTTTGATAGAATAAGAAGGATTTTATTAATTTTGCATGCAAAAACAATTCATTGTTATAGTAAATACTATTCTTTGAAAACTTAAAATTTGTATTAAAGTATTATATGTAATCGACATCCATCATTTATAGAAGATAAATGAGTCACAAAATAAATTATTATTTATTATCTTAATGTAAAGAGTTTAAGGGGTTCTTAATTGTCAAATAGATGGTCATCGTGAAAGTGTTATTATTGGTGTATGTGTTAATAAGTAATGTTAACACAAAAGGCCTTTTTGTGTTGGATGTTAATATTAATTTCATAATACTCATATTGGTGACTTAAAATGTTTTAATGATCTTAAAAATTGGAATTGTTTAAATACTCAAACAGTTGAGAATCTTAAAAATTATCTAGATGATTTAAATGGGCTTATTTAAAAAATTTCTAAATTAATAGAAGCTACTTCTTAAAGAAATACTTATTAGAATTACTAGGAAATGAATTTTACTGATTTACACAACAATATAAATGACTAAATTACTTTATGGAATCATTAAGAATAAATGTAAGCTCTTTTATAAGAGTTATTTCCTACAAATACTAGAGATAAAATTAGAAATATTTGCTCAATATAATTACAAATAAATTCTAACAATTATAATTTAGAAATTAAAAAAAGTATACAAGGGTAAGATTATTTGAAAGGGGCTTAAGGATTAAGACCAAGTATCTGCTATTAAAATTTCATTTAAGTGTAGTAATATCCAGACTAAAATAAATCAGCATAGAACATTATTCCCAAATAAGCAAGTTTATAAATTCCTTAAATAAACTATTAAAGAAATTTCTAAGCTAATGAAAGATAAAATCAACATTTAGTACAATCACCAAATTATAATTATAATAATAATCTAAAGAATTAATAGGGTTAAAACGATTGTAATTTATAAAATAAAAATAACAATATCAAAATATAAGAATCATTCAGCACTAATGACCGCAAAATGACACAAAATGCCAACCAAAATATACAGAGAACGACTAGTCCTCTATGCAATTTCAAGAATCCTATCAATTTGTAAAAATAATGATTTTTAATTTTCTTAATTAAAAATGAAATATTTAAAATAAATTTAATTTATCATTATTTTATGAGTTTAATGAAACATCAAATTAGAAATATAAATAAAAGAATATCTGATTGTCGATAATATTGAGAATAAGTATACAATAAGAGTAAAGTAGAAAAACAATAAAGTTATCGAATAGGATAGTCTAGAAAATCTATGATATTAATATAAATTTCATAAAGAGAATGTTAATTTATAATTATTATCTAATATTTTCTGTATAATAATTTTGCATATTTATGATAATTATTAGAACCAATTTAATTAATTTTATCTTCTAAATCATCAATAAATTATATAGAATACTCTTTTATTGATCACAAAATAAATAATAATACAATGTAAAATATGAATTATTAAATCTCAATTTGCAGTTGATGCTTAATTAGTAAAAAATGAAAATTTCCTTAATAATTATAAGGAATATTATTTATTATTAATATGAGTGATATTTTAGTTAAACAACTAAATAATTCATGTTTAATTGTTCTATATACTGCAGGTGCTGGAGCATAAGCTTTAAATCATTTCACACTTCATCCAGGTTCATCAAAATATGCATTAGAGTCATCCAGTTTTTATGCAAAAGGGAGTTTAGAAATACTTTTAAACAGAAATATTGAAAAATATGTTACAGAACAAGTAGCAGAAGATATGGCACTTAAAGCTTTAATAAGATCTCATGAGATTTTAAGCTAAGAAAATAATATTGATAAGTATAATTTTTGTTCTATTAAGATTTAATACTACTTTAGGAATAGGAATTACTGCAGCTATTAGATCTGTAAATGAAAGATAGGGAAAACATCATGCATTTATTAGTTTAAATTATGGAATTAAAAAATATACATATTATTTAGATTTGGTAAAATATGTAAGAACAAGAGAAGAAGAGGATCAATTCATTTCTGATATTTTATTTAAATTAATAATTAGACATTCATCTTAATAATAATAAGATGAGGAATAAGAATTAGTAGATAAAATTGAAATTTTAGAAAATGCTACTATTATATTAAAAATTAAAGAATCAATAATGAACTAAAACTTAATTAAATCATTACAAAATCAAACAGGTATACTTAACTCTATTTTAATAAATGCTAATCAATATCAATTAAATCCAATTATTTAAGATGCCATAATATTAAGTGGTTCATTTAATCCAATTCATACTGGGCATATTGAATTAGCTAAAATGGCATAAACATTATTGGGATTACCAAATGTTTATTATGAATTATCTATCAAAAATGCTGATAAATAAGATATCACTATCTAAGATGTAGAAAAGAGAATAGAGTTGATGAAAAAGTACAATTTAAATATCATATTATCTAATATAGCATTTTTTAAAGATAAAAATGTATTTTTAAAGAATGGAGCTTTTGCTATTGGAATAGATACATATAAACGACTTGTTGATGTTAAATATTATAATAATTCTATTCAAGAAAGAGATCTTTCTCTTTTTTTGTTTTTACAAAATAATAATAAGATTATAGTAGCACCTAGATACAATGAAATAACATAAAAATTAGAAACCTTAAATGATTATGAAATTCCAAAAATATTTGAAAAGAATGTAATAGAATTGAAAGAATTTAGAAATGATATTTCTTCAACAAAAATAAGATAAAATGAAGGCAATTGAATTTATTTAATATATAAATTTGAATTAAGGTTAAGATTCAATTATCCAATTTATAATTTTTTTATCTATAAAGATCAAAAAATTATTATACTAATTTATGTTTTTATTTTTAAGTTTCGAATATCTAGATTAAATTATTAAATATTATACTTTTATCGAAATTCTATTCTATGTATTCATAATCTTGGAATTCACATAATAGTTAATTGGATAATTAGATTCTTATAATTATTATTTTATTGTATTTTATCTATCATTCTAATTAAATTTAGATTAATTTGTCAATCTTAGAAAAGCATCAGATAATCTATCTAATTAATCTTAACTACCATCACTAAATAAAATAGAATTTATTTGTTTTCCTTAAAGTAAATATTTATTAAAACTATTTACTAATTTATCAATAGGTTTTTAAAGTAAAAGAAATGATATTAAATGGATACATAAACTAATAAAGGCTGTAAATAATATTCCAATTATTAATTAACCAAGCAATTATTAATACATATCATGAATCATATTTTTTAGAAGATTTATATAATTAGAGTAAGCTTATGAATTAAATTTCAATATAATAAAGTAGTCATTTGTAACTTACTTCTATCTTATATACCATAATTCATTAGTATTCTTATTTATTAAACAAATTGTATTAGGTATATTAAGTTGACAATTTTCTTGTGTTTAATTTTATTACATTATCTATTTCACATCTGTTTCATTAAAACCAAAAATAGACTAATTCTATAGAAAATAAACATCAGTTGTTTATACTGTATAATAACTACCTATTAATATTCTCCCTGTTTTATCTATCACTAATAGATCTAAATCATCATAACTAAATTAATAAAAAGAAGAAAAATTAAGATCAATAGCTCCTATTCCTATAGCACTATTATTTTAATCGTAGATAGTAGTTGTTCCAGAGATGTAAACACCACCTAAAAAATTTGCATAAGGTTCAGATATAATGAATTAAGAAGAATTCATTGAATCCAAATGATTTTAAAACCATTTTCTAGATGAAGGAACATAGCCAGTGAAATTTGATCCTGGACAAGTAGAAAAATAACAGTCACTAGATATAGATGTAAAATATATATTAAGTTCGATTTAATAAGGTATAGTAGTTGTGAGTAAGTTAGATAACTTTCTAAAATCCTATAGATATTAATTTTGAATTTGTTTAGAGCAATTAAAATTGCCATAACAGTATTAACAATAATTAATGATACTATTTTGAAAATATTCTTCTTACAAACATTTTTCAGAATTCCTGGAAAAACTTATATTTGTTCTTTAAATCAACTAAAACAAAGTGTTAATATTTTATATTGAATACATTCCTTGATGTATTTTATACTCCAAATTCTTCGAATAAATTGAAATATAAGAATTTGTTTATCCATATATAAAATTCATGATAAGTTTTTCTTCAGCATCTCTTTACAAAAATTGAAATAGACCTTATATATTTAAAAAAATTATCAGGCCTAATATGACTAAAACTATAATCATAGTTATTAGTTAGATTAAAATGATTTAACTTCGAATTCTCCAAGTTTTAAACTATTTTATTATAAATTTATTGCAAAGCATGTTTAATATAAAATATATTTAAGAAATTAATTTGTTTACTTTTTAATTAAAATACAAAGTTGATTATTTCAATAATTGGTATTATCTGTATTCTATTCAATAATATGAAGTTCTTTATCATCCATTTTTAATTTAAGCTTATTAAAATAATTATTAAACAATATCTGATGATTTTATTATATAGATTAGTTTTTCGCGGGATAAAATGATCTAAAATTTTCAAACTTTATTTATTTCTCATTTAATTCAAATTAATTTAAAAAGTTATTTTAACAATAAGAATATTAAGATGGTTTAGTTTTATCTGATGATTCACTAACACTTTGATTTTATTTTTCAATATATTTTTCTATTTTCTTCAATTTTTTTGATGATTTTTAATTAATTCTTTTATTCAACTATTTATAATTAGAATGTTAAATAGTTCTTTCATTATTAAGATCTGTTTATATCTATTTATCAGTTATTTATTTTCTCTTTTATACTCTTTGTTACTCAATTATTTAAAATGTTTCAATTTTACAATCTTCACTTAATTTGATAGGTTCTATAAAATATATCTGTTATTTCTTTTATTAAAATTATTTTAGGGACAATAACACATTTTTGGATTTTGCAATAAGTTTTTAAAGAAATTACATTTTATTTTATATACAAATTTATAACTAAAACAAAATTAATTCTGAAATTCAAATATTTATGTGTAATTTCATTGATCATTAATTATTATATTAATGTAAATTATAAGATATGACAATTATTTATATATATATATATCATTTATCAATATATTAAGATTATTATTATTTTTATTAGCTTGATTATCTAGTAATTTTAGTTTTCTAACTAATTTATGATTTTGTATCACTAATATTCTTTTCTGATTTATTGATTTAGGAATCAGTTTCCTTGTAATTTGATCTCTTAATAATTTTATTTGGATTCTCTGTTTTTACATATAAATATTATACCTTCTGGTTTTGGAATTGAGGGTACTTTAATACCTATTACACCTTAAGGATAATTTTATAGAAATTTTTCAATTCCTCCACTCAATAGATAAACATTCTCAAAACCTTTTTCAGCAAATAGAGTGGCTGAAGGGATTCCATTCTTTTCATCAAAATGATATATTATAATGTGTTTATCTTTTTAGTTTTTCTAATTAAATATTTAAATGTACAAATCTATGAATTTATTAAGTTAATTTATCTTATCTTAAATTAGGAGCAGGGAAATTGACAGCTTCTTTTATATGATAAAGTTCAAATTCATCAGGATCTCTTAAATCTAATAGAAGAAATTCTGATTGATCTGTAATTCCCAATTATTCTGTAGCATAAGTAATTGCAGAGATTTATGAGACTTCAGTAAATCTAGTCTTTTAACTATATTGACTTTATGTATCAAATTATTGTAATTGTTCTTATTCTTATTATTGTTAATCTGCTAATTTATAAATAGTTTCTTATTCTGTATTTTCCTTTGATAATATATATAAAGTATACATTAATATAGTTAAAAACAGTAGAACATTTGATACGCTTAAATAATTCTGATCTTTTTTTAGCTATTTTAGCATTACTTACAACTTCAATATCTCTCACAGTTGGTCCTGTATTTAATGTTTATTTGACATGATCATATTATTTGTTTTTTGGTACTTTTTTATCAAGGGGCTTAAGAATTCAAATTGATATATACATTTCCTTTTCCTTTAACATAACCTATTGGCATTTTGTCCATAATAATTAATTCAAATATTCTGTTAACTAATATTATTAAATTTAATGAAATTATATTAGAATAACAGCATTTTGTAAATATGTATATAATGATTTTAAGATTATATATAAAACAAAAAAAATTATAGAGTGAATAAATATCATTAATATTTTTTGAGTATTTAAATTAATTATAATTCTTGGATTGGTTTAACTAAAAAGTCTACCATTCCAGAATTAATACACTTTTAATATTCTAATTAATCTGTATAACCACTACAACCAATAATAATCTAATTTGGATAACTTTAAAGAATAAATTTAGTAGTTTCTTAACCATTCATAATAGGCATTTCTATATCCATAAAAATTATTTTATAACCTTAACAAGTGCTACAACACTTTTTTGTTTTTATTTTAGTAATTGATTCACTACCAGATAAAGTTGAATCAATATCAAATTCATTTGTAAATAAATGTTTATTATTTTTATACAATTCCTATAACATTCTTTTAAATGCAAATATATTAAAACAATCATCATCAACTATTAAATAATGATGACAATTTTATTAAGTTGATTAATCTTCTTTTAAATTGGATGTTATTTTATTAAAACTAATTATTTCATCTACTTCTTATGATTATAATGAAATTTCAGGTACTTTGAAACTTGAGACTTTTTTCTTTTTCAGAATTTCATCAATAAATAAATCAAAATAAAAATAACTATAATGATTATTTTTTTTATTTTTTGAATCTATATTAAGTCCAGTAGATCCAATATTTTATGCTATTTAATTACTTATAACTAAACCTAATCCAACACCTTATTGATTTAATTTTCTACTTTCTTCAGAATTAACTTTTGAGAATGCTTTAAATAATTTTTATTGATCTTCTTCTGATATTCCTATACCTTCATCTTTTACTCCAATTCTTAATGTATTTTATTTAAATAATTCAAGTATTATTGTAATTTTTCCACTTTATGTAAATTTAAATGCATTACTTAATAGATTTACAATAATTTATTTGATCCTATTTCTATCAGAAAAGAGTGTTTTTGGAAGTGTAGAATTATATTAAATAGATAATTGAACTCCTCTCAATTTTGCTTTTAATTCAAACATTTTTTAACATTCCTCAATTAATATTTATAAATTAAATGGTACTTTTTCAATTTTAAATTTCCCATTTTTAATTTAAGCTAAATCTAATAAATCATTAGATAAATTTAAAATATAATTTGAATTATCTAAAGCTATTTGTAATTATTAATTAATATCAGAATTATTAATTATTTAATCTTATTTAAGTACACATTCTAACATTTGAATAATACAATTTAATGGAGAACGATATTCATGACTAACAAATGAAAGCATTTTAGATTTTTATTTGTCATATTCTTTTAAATATCTTATTTTTTATCTATGAGTTACATCTCTACATATTATAATTATACATTAACTTTTACTTAATGTTAATGTTAATTCCAATAATTAATTATTTTCTGTATTAATATAAGTTTAAGATGTTTATATTTATTGATTTGTAAAAATTGTAAATCTTTAATTTAATTATGTTTAAACAACAATACTTTCTTAATTTTTAGATTTTAATAAAGTATCAATAATCTATTTTATTTTAAATTTCTAATTTTTATCCTATACTTATGAAACATCTAAACTAAGATTTCTATGTTATTAATAATCTTTTGTTTCTGTTGCTTATCTAAAGAGATGTAAAGAAGGTTATCTTTATTATTAAGATACAAATAATAAATCTTCATTTTGTTCTCCATTAAATAATTAAAATGTATTTAAATTATCAATATATTAAAGTACTTCTTATTCTGTTTCTTTATTAAATAATAATTTAGTAGCATTATTGATATATTTAATAGAGTATGGAAAATTAGTAGTATTAGATTCTGGAACAAGTAAAATAACACCTTCTTATAATAATTCTAAACATTAAATACTAGTTTCTTAAATTCCATTTTCAGCTGTAGTTGATGTATCCCTTATACCTACAGAGTTTTGATTTTAATCGAGATCAAATTATGAGACATTTCTTTTTGAATTTAAAATATCTTATTTATTAGTATTTGTTATTTCTGTTATTATTGATGTCATTTGAGTTTGTTTTTACTATGGCAATGAACAATTATAATATAACGATATGATTAAAGTTATCAATAATTGTGGTTGTTCTCTATCAAATTCTATTCTTAAATAAGAATAAACTAATAGAAATATTGAAATTATTGCTTAAAATGCAAAGAGTTCAGATTTAACACCCAATTTAAAGTCTAAAAACAATTCTTTTATTAAAATCTAAGAAATTATAATCTATGAACAGGGTATCCTACCAAAATTATGTATATTCATTATTATTAAACAAAACATATCTAATTCTATACATAAAATAGTTCCTTACAACATGAACTTATTAAATAAATTTTACAGCAATATTAATGCTAATGTAATCAAAGTTATAATTATTAATTGTATTACATTGAGTAAACATGAGTTTTGGAAATAATGATATATTGAGTATGAGAGAATCATGCTTTGTAAGAGATTGACCATAAAGCATTTTTGATTTAACATAATTTAATATAAATATGCTTTTTAAATAAATTACTAATATTTTCTTATTGTAAAAAATATATTACATATATATATTAACTCTCTTTCTTTCTATAAATATCAATATTATCTATTATAATTGATAATAAATAAATGTCATACTTAATTTATATGTTATTTATTCATTAAAACAGATTATTATTATGAATTTTTAATATATCTTCTAATTANCTTTCTTAATTTTTAGATTTTAATAAAGTATCAATAATCTATTTTATTTTAAATTTCTAATTTTTATCCTATACTTATGAAACATCTAAACTAAGATTTCTATGTTATTAATAATCTTTTGTTTCTGTTGCTTATCTAAAGAGATGTAAAGAAGGTTATCTTTATTATTAAGATACAAATAATAAATCTTCATTTTGTTCTCCATTAAATAATTAAAATGTATTTAAATTATCAATATATTAAAGTACTTCTTATTCTGTTTCTTTATTAAATAATAATTTAGTAGCATTATTGATATATTTAATAGAGTATGGAAAATTAGTAGTATTAGATTCTGGAACAAGTAAAATAACACCTTCTTATAATAATTCTAAACATTAAATACTAGTTTCTTAAATTCCATTTTCAGCTGTAGTTGATGTATCCCTTATACCTACAGAGTTTTGATTTTAATCGAGATCAAATTATGAGACATTTCTTTTTGAATTTAAAATATCTTATTTATTAGTATTTGTTATTTCTGTTATTATTGATGTCATTTGAGTTTGTTTTTACTATGGCAATGAACAATTATAATATAACGATATGATTAAAGTTATCAATAATTGTGGTTGTTCTCTATCAAATTCTATTCTTAAATAAGAATAAACTAATAGAAATATTGAAATTATTGCTTAAAATGCAAAGAGTTCAGATTTAACACCCAATTTAAAGTCTAAAAACAATTCTTTTATTAAAATCTAAGAAATTATAATCTATGAACAGGGTATCCTACCAAAATTATGTATATTCATTATTATTAAACAAAACATATCTAATTCTATACATAAAATAGTTCCTTACAACATGAACTTATTAAATAAATTTTACAGCAATATTAATGCTAATGTAATCAAAGTTATAATTATTAATTGTATTACATTGAGTAAACATGAGTTTTGGAAATAATGATATATTGAGTATGAGAGAATCATGCTTTGTAAGAGATTGACCATAAAGCATTTTTGATTTAACATAATTTAATATAAATATGCTTTTTAAATAAATTACTAATATTTTCTTATTGTAAAAAATATATTACATATATATATTAACTCTCTTTCTTTCTATAAATATCAATATTATCTATTATAATTGATAATAAATAAATGTCATACTTAATTTATATGTTATTTATTCATTAAAACAGATTATTATTATGAATTTTTAATATATCTTCTAATTATAATACAATATTCAATTCTTTAATCATAATACCAAAAAGTAAAATATAAACATTATTATTAATATATACATTTATATACTTGTTCTATTTTGATCATATTTGTTCTATTTTCTATTTCTTTTAAACTAATTTCTGTGTTAAGTATTTTTGAAAAATTTAAATATATCAATTTATTAAATATTAATGATTCTTCATATATCATCTAACACGCTTAATTTGAAAATAATTATTATTTTTAGTAAATTTATTTTCATTTAGAACATTTAATTAGTATTCTAGAATTATTAAATTAAATATCATTGTCTAATTGTTCATAAATATATAGAAATTAGACTATATGGTTAATGTATTATATTTCAGAAGACATTTATTAAATTAGAAAATGATAATCTCATTGTTTATTTCGAAAATATCAAAACTAAATAATAAAATATAATCATAATTATATTTAATGTGATTTCATTATACTTTGAATTTTAAAGAACCTTAGTCTGATCTTAAAAACTAAGGTAATTTGATATTCAATATTTTTATAAATTTTTTAGATAAAAGAAGCTAAAAATTCAAACTTATATATCAGAATAAATATATTAATATTAAGAAGAATTAAATTTAATGAATGGATTTTACGTTAGTTTCTAATATATTTCATATAGTAAATTTATACATATCTCATTAAGTCTTAATAATAATTTAAGTGTATATATTCATCATAGATTGTCTATTTCCTTTTTTAATAATCAAATTTATAGATAGATTTGAATTAACAACCTATTTAATAATCAATACATTAAATTATTAATTGAACTAATAAATGTATGATAATCAGAAATCTATACTATATTATATTGTTTATTTTCATAATAATAAATCTAATTCTATAAAAGTCTCTTATTCACTTATTCAATGATTTACTAAGATTAGATTAAAATTGATGACACTTAAAAGAATTGTAATAAATAAACATGAATTTTCATAATATTTTGTCTCTATATCACAAATAATATTATTATGGTATTAATACATAAGAATTCAGAAGCTATATATAATTAAAAATTTATGTAATTAAGTAAAATCAAGGAAAAGTGAGAATTATTAATTCCCATCTCTTTTTGCTTTAGAAATGAGTGATAAGTTAATTTGTATGTTAGACATTCAAATGAATAAGAGAACAAATATTAAGATATATAGTTAATACTCTAATATATATATTTATGATATGAGACCTCAATACTTGAGAAGAGAATTCTTAACTATGGTCTTATTAGCCACATGACAACTCTTCTACTGAATTTTAGAGTTATATATATAACTGACGGAGTCTTTTCTCAAAAAATTATTACTAAGTCGTTATTTAAATCAATATACCCTAAAATTCTAAACATCATCAGAAAATCTTCATGATGTGTATATCTTGTTATATGGGCTATATTCCTCAATTTGTTTCTCAATCGGTTCATCAATTTCAGAAACTCTTAGGCTCTTATATCTCCCAAAGTTTATTAAATGAGATTTTTTTATCTACATGCAAAAGATACAATAGCCTTTGCATAATTTTTTTGGATATTTGTAGATTTGACCAAGAAATTTGGTTTTTATGACTTTTTTTAAAGGATACTCTTATTGATCTTATTTTGAATATGTATATCTCTAATTTGTTCTTAGTTGCTTGCTAATTCAAGTTTACTTTCAGTTTCTGAGTAAGTTTTCTTTTAGATATCTTCTACCTAATTAATGGGTTCATCAGATGATTAATTTTCTTAAATTTGTGCTTATGCCTAAATATTGTAATTAAATGAATTTGGAATAGAATATGTTTAAGGCATTATCATATATTGATATCCATAAGGATAAAGTAGATGATGGGGTACAAAAAAGGTATTAAAATTTGTATTAAACATATTATTATATTCTAAATAAACACAACCGTAAGACTTAATATTGTCGATACTAAATCAGTTTATTCACTTTAATTAAATAATATTATTACATTTTTAATTAAAAAGGAGATATTTATATATTGTAAGTTAAATATAAGATATTAATTATAATATGTTATCATACAATTTACTTAAATAAGTTATTCAATATTATTAACAAATTCTAAAATAGAACTATGTATTATTGTAAATTATCAATTATTTATCCTTAATCCGAATAATATTAACATATATTTGATTAAAATATTATAAAATAGTAATGTAGTAAATTATAAGAATTATTTAATATATTTTAATATTAATAATAATGTTTAGAAAAAAAGAAGTTATTTAAATAGCAGAATTAAGGGCTGAACCTATAAAAGAGATTTAATTATAGTTGAGTGAAGAGTTATATGAGTCGAAGTTTATTTTTAATATCAATGTATACAGTTGGATTAGATTGATTAGAGAATGTAATGGAAATTAAAGAGAGAAATAATTGGAGATGCTTAAAAGGTATCAGAAATCAATTCTAAGATTTCTATAATAAAAGAATAAAATAAATCTTAATTAAAGGAAGAGTTTTTAAAATTAACTTAAGATGTTGTTAATTTAGAATAATAAAAAGTTAATTAAATAAAAACAATTAGAAAATTAGTTGATGATAAAGAATATGCAGAAAAGAAATCTAAGGAGATGAAGAAATTATATTTGTAATCATAAATTCGTAATGAGTAAATAAAAAAAATGATATTAGAAGAAGAAGAACGATTTAAGAGTTTGATATTGAATTGATAATAGTATAAAAATTAATTAATCAATTGTATTATTAATATCTTAATAATTATTATTCTTTTTCTTATAAATTTCTAGACATAACTAATAAAAGATTTTATAGATCTCTAATTTATGGATTATCTTTTAGATTTCTTTTGTAATTATCTAATTCTCTATGTAATCTATCAATTTCTAAATCTTTTAATTCTAAATATTCCATTGCTTCTTTTAATTAATCTTCTTTATTATTATTTTATTGCATATGTAATTTAATTTCATCAATTTGATTAAGTACTTCTACTAATTATTAATCTTTGATTTATAATTCTGTTGTTAATTCTTTTATTTTCTTTTATGTTTATAATAATTACTATTTAAGTAATGAATTGTTATGAGTTAATTCTTGAATTTCAAGTGTTAATGTTTCATAACATTTAGTAGGTCTTTTTTAAGATCCACTATTTTTTTTATTAACTTTTTATAATTCTGTTTCATATGTTCTATTCATATTTTGTGACATTTATAAATTGATATCTTTACTTTTTAATTAATCATTTAGACTAGATAATTCACTTCTTTTTTAAGTTAATTCTTTTTAACATTTCTGTAATTATTTTTAATATTCTTTAACTTATTAATCCTTCTTTATCAATAATGTTTCAGCTTCTGTTGATGTTTCTGTCAATATTTATATTTTATTTTTTAGAGTAGCCAATTCTATTATAACATCCTATTTAAAAGATGATTCATCAAGTTTCTTAAGACCTTCAAACTTCTTTTCTAATTAAATATAACGTTGTCTTTCTTAAAAATACATTTTCTCATAATGATCATAATCAGTTTATATATTTATTGATCTCATTTCTTTATTATATTATTCAGTATCCTTTAATTCAAGTGCTAATTGTTTTAATTCATGCTTATACCTTTCAATTATCTAATTAAAACATTAAAATACTTTAATTTCTCCTTCTCTTAAATGATTAACTAATGTCATAATTTAATTCAGAATTGTAAGTATCTCTGAAGAATTACAATCCTCCTCATTCTCTAATATCACAGGTAATTGATTTTCATCTATTTCATCTGATAATTATTTCACTTCTTCCCAATATTCATTCTGATCTTATTTGAATTCTTCTAAACGTTAAAAGAGAATTTGCAATTATTATTCCATAAATTTATTTATGGCTTAAAATTTTCATAGCAATCTACCAAAAGACTTTGAAGGATTCCTTCATGAAGTCAAATCTGTAGTTTAAGCAAGACAATAAACATTAAATGAAAGTATTCAATAAGAATAGAAGAAGTGTATTGAAGGAAAGAAGGAATAAGACTTTTTGAAGTGTTAAACTAAATTAGCAAAGAAATTAGAAAAGAATGAAGCATTATTTTGTATATCCAAATGATTTATCAAAGAATTTAAGATGATATATTGGAGAGAAACATCAGTCTAATGTTTTAAGACATAAGAATAAAAAGGTGCAGGAACTGATCAATGTAAGGCTGATTCTAAGAAATTATTGGAGACTATCTTTGATTCCTTTAAAATATGAATACCTATATATATATAAGTAAGTTTATTATAATTTAGACTTATTGTTTTATTATTTTTATAAAATACAAATTATTTAAACACAGTTAATAACTACAGATCCCATATAATATTGTTCAATTATTTTGATACATAATTATTACATAAGTTTACTATTATATTCTAATAAGTATATAATAATTTAATATAATTACACTTATAAGATTTGAATACTTTGATAAATCAATTTTATAAAAACACTTTTAAAATTATATTAAATGCATACAAATTTTAAGGTATCTTATTTAATACTTAGGATAAAAGTATAAAATATAGAAAAAAATGAATAAATATATTTATTTAATAATATATATGTTAAATATACTAAAATACTCATTGTTTTTTAAAAATGTTTAATTTACCCCAAAATCCACCTTTCTTTTGTTCTTCTAATGTTGGATAGATTAAGTATGAATGTGCCTATCATAATAAAATAATTGAATTACAATATCTAATTAAATTGGTTTAGGTGGAATTGGTTGCATTAAAGAAACTAAATCAGCTGGTTTATATAATAAAACATTATCTAAAGTAATTTATTCAGGAGATTCTAATAATTCAAATAAAGTTTTGCAATTTTATTTATCCTCTAATCCAATATTTTGAATTTCTTATCCAATTATTTTAACTTATTCTTATTATAGTTTTAATCCATTTAATTTACTCTTATTTTATATTTATATTGATAATGGAATAAGTAATTTTAATAAAGCATGAGGTTCCAATTTATTTTCTGTGTATTTTCTATCAGCTATTCTTGATAAATCATCATGATATTTCAATAAACTATAAGCTTCTCTATACTTTTCATTAGTAAAATATAGACAGCCAACAAAGAAACATCTAAGTGCTTTACAAAAGAATTCTTTTGCATCTAAAATTTTGAATAATGTAATATCTTTATTAAAACGTTCTTCATCCATTATTTATCTTAAAATTTAGGAATAATTATCACAATATTTAATAATTTCTTATGGAGTAGTTAATTTTAATTTAAGTGCCTTTTTAGTTTATAGATTTTAAAGATTATTGACTCCATCTTCTTTTATGAATTTTTCAGTATATTATTTAATATGCATTTCATTTCTATCAAGTGTTGCAGATTATCTTTAATAATTGATATAACCTAAAACTTTAGTGTGTATTTCCTTTTCTTATTCAGATGTTGATTAATCCTTATCTATCTTAACATATTTTGATGCTTCATCATAAAGTGAAAACAAAGTAGTAAATGAATCCATATCACCTATTAGTTTACTTTCTTGAATTTTAAGAATTAATTTAACTACCTTTTCATTTTTTATTGGTAATTTAGAATCTTAATATTCAATTTCAAAAACACCTTATTATTAAGTCATCTTAGCTTATCTTTATTCTTCAAGCATTTCTTGGAATTTAGCAATCATAATAGGATCACTTTGATCTTTTAACATTTTAGTTAATTCATCAGCAGATAATGTAGCTAATCTCTTTGCTTTAGCATTACAATATCTTATTTATTGATTTAATTATTCTAATCTTTCTTAATATACACCAGAACTAAATTAATCACATACTTTTATTATTTATTCATAAATAGTATAACATTTAGCAAATGATTCTAATGCTTTTTCCCATTTTTCTGTTTCAAAATGATACAATCCTTATAAATACCAAGTATATGCTTCTGATTCTAAAGATGTTCTTTTTTCAGTTCTTTATTCACAAATAGTAGTTAATTATTTAGAATATTAAATAGCTCTTTTAAATTTCTTAACCAAATAAACTTTAACTTATCTTTTATTTATTTTCTTATTGACTCCACTATTAATCAATTATTTTAAAGTCATAGCATGTGCCCAATTCTTTTCAGCTTAATATAATAATACTTATAAAACACGTGGATCATTCTAATTTCAATATTTTTATTATACCTTGACCACATCTTAAATCACTTTCTTTTAAAATCTCTTTCCATGAGTAAATTACATTTAACGTCTTAATTTGTTTATTTTATTATAACAATATGTCCTATATCTTTAATAATCTCCATGTTGTAATCCATAATTTCTTTAAGTTTCTCTTATTCTTTAGAATACTATTTAATATAATATCAATTTATACCATACAAAGAACCTAAGTTTAATAATTATTCTTATTATTCTTCCTCTTCCATTTATTACATATTTAATTAAATAATAATATAATATATATAAAATAATATAAACTCAGTTATCTTCTTCTTAATATATTTCATCTAGTTCTTCAACATTCTCATAAAATTCACTCATTTATTTTATACTTGAAAAACACTCCATATTATTTTATAAATTCTTTAATCCTTTTGATAAGGTTTCATTTTATTGTACTAATTCCATCTAATAATTTAATAATAATTAATACATTCTTCATTCTTAACTTTTCAGCATGTATTTCCCCTTCATTATAAACTCTCTTTACTAGTTGTCTAAGATCTTAAATCTAAATGTAATATGTAAATAATTAACTTCATTAACAAGTTCTTCTTGTTTTATCTCAAGCATATTAACCTTTTCTTACAATTTATAATTGTCTTCCTTCAATTTAATATTCTCACTTAATAAATTTCTTTCTTTCTATTAAGTACTGGAAATATAATTAGTAAATGCTTATTATTGAAGTTATTTTAAAATCATCTAACATATTTCTGTGATTTATACTTCTTATATGTCTTAATTGTTTTCCTAAATTGGATAACTCTCAAATTGTTAGTCCATCATTAAAGTATTAAATATTAATATTAAAAAAAATAATAATCAATTTTGTATTATTTTCCAAGGTTTAATAAAGAATTACTAAACTTTTTTATATTGTAGAAATAACAAAATTGTTATTATTAATATGAAAAATATACTACCAAAGAAACATCCCTTAACAAGTGGTTCTGTATTTAAATATGAATGCTCTGCAAATGTTATTACTTCTTTCACAGCCTATAATCATTATTTTTTAGAAATACAATTGTAATCCCTTCATCTGTAAAACAATTATATTTTTGATATTCATGAAATATTCTATTCTAACCATCAATTCCTTTTAAACCATCAGCTTATGTATAATAAATTATGCCCAATGCTATATTACTCATGCATAGGATAAACGTTATTATCAATTAATATTCAATATGTTAAAATTTAGTAAAATCAATAGATATAAATATTACATCTCTTAGTAAATAAAACAACAAAGATGTTATTAATAAAACTGTTGTTAAAATTAAAGAGATTTTGCTCACATATCTACTATAAGAATTAATAATCTCTCCTTGTAATCTCATCTTTTTTATACTATCTGGATCTACAATATTACATTCTGGATTTGTTGAATTAATTGTTATTCTACTCATTAATTATAAGGTATAAGTATCAATGCTATCAATATAATCTAAAAAGTATGGTATGCTTTAAAAATTAGTGAAATCATTGTCATCATATACATTTAATTAATAATCTGAATCAATAATTTTTGAATAATTAAATGTATTTCCGTATTTATCACAGCCCTTTTCAGGAACAATTGCTAACGGATAATATTTACCACTTTAAAATTTTGGTTATACTTTTGAATTAAAACACATGGAATTAGGATGAACACCAGGAACAATTTAAAAATTAATTAATGGAGTTGAACCGTTACGGTACTTATTGAAATATTTTGACCCAATTTTAATCTATTTTTCAGTTTATGTTTGTGTTTCAATTAAATCTGTAAGTGGACATTTTGAATTTGATGATGATATACATATACCAGCACCACATTTATAGTAATTAGATGGACATTCCTAATTACCTACCCATTTCCATTTCTTTGCAAATTCAACACATAACATTTCTCCTTTCCAATATTAGAATTGTTATCCTTTATAATAAGGAACACTCTAACAATCAGATTTGAAATGAGTAAAACAATAGGATCTTTCTTTTAATTCTCCATTTGAACATAAACAACCTATTTAAATATCATTATGAATACCTGAATTGACTCCTTCCCAAGTACCTATAGTAGTAATTTCAAATCCATATGGACAACTTTAATAATGTCTATGGAGTCTATTAATTTGAATGGTATTTTGAATATCAAGGATTGGTGATGAAGCTAGGTTTTCTTGTAGTGTTTTCAAGGTGGCAGAAGCACTGGATGGATCTTTTTAAGGTTGCTATTGATGGTACACTTGAATCATAAGAATAAGGATAAATGTTGCGTAGATTAATGGTATTAGAAATATTGGAAGTGAGAATGGACTGGGTTCTTCATTTAGGATTTCTGATTGAACATCTTCATAAATGTTAAGTCATGATTTACTTTATAGACTGTCAATAGAAATATTGTCACTATTTTCTTGCCAATCATGTTTGTGAAGGTGCAAGGATCTGCGAATTGATAATTTCATCTTTTATTATTTGATATGAAAAACTTAATCAAGTATTTAAAGAAGTATTGAATGAAGAATAATAATAAAATCAAAATATTTGAATGTTTTAATACTATTAATATGGTTATTCATCATAATTCTCATGGACATTATCATAAACTATTCTCATACTAATTAAAGGTAAGTTTGAATGATGTAAATAACAAATGTTTAACGTTATCTATTTAATTAATAAATTAAATGTAGAAGACAAACTTTAAGAACCTAAAAGACTTACTACAAAATAAGTATGCCTACTAAGAAGCAACATCAAATTCTCGTACTTCTTCCATAGCTGAAGTCTTATAGAATCTCAAAAAAAATAAAGATTAGACTCCAGTCTCTATCATGAAGGAGGAGATCATCAATTTTACTAAAGCTATAGGTTTTGGCATTTAAGCTCCATCCTCTAAATCAAAATCTAAAGAGAAATAAGCATTGCCAAAGAGTATTGACAAGTAATCAAATAATTTTTGATTTTAGAAAACCTATATTAAGCAATGTAGCCCCATAATCAAAGGGTAATAGTCGAAAAAATAGTTCTTAGAGTAGAAATACTTCTGCTCATTCTATTATAAATGAGAAGTAAGTAAAATAAATATATTAGCACAAATCGATCAATTGCCAAAGACCCAAAAATACCAAAAGGATTTTAAACAGGAAGATTAAGAGAAAGATCAGAAATGAATTCAATTTTGGATTAATAAAAAATAAAAATACTTAATTAATCATAGGATCAATAAAAATAGAATCTCAATAATAGCAACGTAAGTAAATAAGGAACCATAGATCTAGTTAACTTATTAAAGCAATAATAAAATCAAAAATAATAATCAATAAATGAGACAATAAATGAAAGTAAAACATTTGGAGAAGAGTTTTGTGGATTAAATAAAGGACATTTCATATATAATTATGTGATTGGAAAAGGAGGATTTGGAAAAGTATGGAAAGTAGAATTGAAGAAAAATAGATAAATGTTTGCTATGAAAGAAATGATGAAATCTAAAATAATTGCTAAAAGGAGTATTAACTCTGTAATGAATGAAAAAGAATTATTATCATAATTAAGACATCCATTCTTAGTTAATATGTGTTATGCATTTTAAGATAGAGACAATCTATATTTGATTATGGATTTATTAACAGGAGGAGATTTAAGATTCCATATAGGTAAAATGAAAAGATTTAAAGAACATTAAACAAGTATTTATATAAAAAATAATTTAGAATTTTTTATTGCATGCATTGTAAGTGGATTAGAATATTTACATAATAATAACATTATTCATAGAGATATTAAACCAGAAAATATAGTACTAGATAAACGAGTAATAATTATATATTAATTAAGGGTTATGCTAGAATAACAGATCTAGGTATTGCAAGAAAAGTTAGACCAGATAATTCTTAAGATACAAGTGGTACTCCTGGATATATGGGTAATAACTATTAATAAATTCCATTTAGCACCTGAAGTTATGTGTAGATAAAATCATGGAATTGCAGTTGATTATTTTGCTTTAGGAGTTATTGCTTATGAATTTATGATTGGAAAAGTAATCTTTTATTTTTAAATATTAAAAAGAGACCATACAATGGAAAGTCAAGAAAGGAAATTAGAGATTAAATTCTAGCTAAATAAGCATCTATTAAAAAAGAAGATTTACCAAATGGTTGGTCTATTGAAGCTATGGATTTTGTAAATAAAGTATAACTACATTTAAATTCTTAGTTATTACAAAGAAAACCATAAAATAGATTAGGATTTAATGGTCCTTCTGAAGTCAAGAATCATCCTTGGTTAAAAGGTGTACCTTGGGAAAAATTGTATAATAAGACAATTGAAGCACCTTATCTTCCTATTGTATTTGTTATTATAAACAATAGAATGTTGAGGATATGTATAGATAATAAATATCTGATGATGGAGAAGAATCTTAAGATGAATTGATAAAGGAAAATTAATTATTATTAAGGAAAAATAGTGTTTAAAGTATAAAAATTAAATAATAAATTTAGATTTATTTGCTGGTTATGGATATGATTGCAATTAAGATCCTACTTATAAAGGAACTAGAAGTACAGCATCAACACATAATACAAGTCAATAGAATGAAACAATCAAATTTTGAAAAAAATTAATTCATAATATATATGTAATAATACATTCACAATAATAAAATTAATAACAAAACTAAGAATGCAACAAAAGCACAAATTAACATGCACCATAACTTCTTTTTACCAGTTTTCTGTTATTCTTATGTTTTAGTTAATTATTCTTATGTTTTGATAACATTCTCTTTTGTTGTTGTGACATTTGTTTCTATTACATCAAAATAGGTATCTTAATGTTCTATTTCCAATGCTAAATCTTGAACAATTTTATTAATTGTTTATGTCTTATATTAGATTTAATCTATTTCTTCTTAATTTTATTTAATGATTTAATTGTGCCATTCAATGTGGTCAAATTGTTCAAATGTCTATACATCCATCATTTATAATTATTGGGCATTTTAAAAATTTTATTGATTATTGGAAGAATGATTCAATGTAAAATTTTATACATCTTATTTCGATGTCATTTTCATCATTCTTTCAATATCCTTTAACACTTCCTTTAAAGATTCATATCCACAATCATTAATCATATTTTTATATAACTGTTGATGTCTTTAAAGATGACTAGTGTACAAATCTCTTAATTTCTTGGTTTTATTTCGTTGCTCAACTCCCCTAGATGACTTTGAGTTATTGTTTAAAGTACTTGCTCCAATTTAATGATGTTTTCTTTAATGTCCATATGCTCTAATTAGATAGCTTTCAATTGTAGAAACACTTGATTGACATTATGTTAATCAATTTCTGATTCCCCAGATACCTGTAATTCATCAACACTTTGTTAATAATCTATGAGTTGTGCTTTCACTTTCTAAGATACAATATGATTAGGTACCTCATATAACTAATCAAAGGAGATATTATTGTTTAATAATGATGTATGAAGATCACTCATTTAATTAAATATTAAATCAATCACACCATTACATTCTTTTTCCATTCACCCATTATCCTTTCCTTTTTCCTTATTAAGAATTAGTATATTCACCAATTCCATGTTATTTACCATATTCCCATTATCCAGAATATTATCGAGAATCAGCTAACTAAATTACTATTATGATTACGCCATGTCAAAGTTCCAAATCCATGTTTTTTATCATTCTTATATTCCCCTTAATATATAGTACCATCTGCCCATGTCATTTTACCCTTTCCATCCATTTAATCATTTAACCACTCTCCTTCATATTTTCTACCATCATTCCAAGTATAAGTACTAAAATATATCAATTATAATTACCCTTATCCATTAAATTAGTTATTTTTAAACGAACCTTCATAAAGAGAACCATCTGGGAATTTATATACTCCATATCCTTCACGCTTTCCTAATTTAAATTAACCTGTATAACTAGATTTATCAGAGAAAAATTCGAATCCCTATCCATTTTATAAATTTTCGAACCAGTCTCCTTTATACATGGCACCATCTCCATGATAATACTCACCATATCCGTAATGTTGATCATCACACCATTATCCTATATAATAATCACCATCTGCATAAATCATTCTACCCTTTCCATTTGCCATTCCTCGAGAAAATTAACCTTCATATATTGATCCATTTTTCATGATTTAAACTCCTTTTTATTTAATAACTGAATTTTACCTTTTCCATTTTTTTGACCTTCTAACCATCCTCCTTGATATAAACTCCCATTATTTAATTCATACACTCCATAAAAATATGCTTCTGAGTCTTCTACTTCAAAAGGGGCCAATCTATCTAATAGTTCCTGCATTATAATCATCTCGTACTTTGACTTTGAATGAGGTTGTCTAGAACAATTAAGATGTTAATTTAGCTTCTTTAACATCAGGTCTATGAATTTCTAATAGTAAGGAATCATCCAATTATCTGGTTTTGGTTTATGATAAATTCTTCTCTAAATCTCCTTGAATTAAAGGTTCATCTGGAAGAGCTCCAACTTCCCGAATGGTCTCAATTTTACTAGTAAATGTCAGTGGAGGAGCCTCACTTAGAACAGTAATTTATTCAGAACATACACATTATCCCATTATTTAATTTATTTTATAAGTATATAACTATTAATTGTTCACTATTTTCTTATCAGATTGGTATTATTCTTGATTTCTTATTCCATAAAATGTAAGATTCTCATTTCCAAATTCTAGTTCTTCTTTACTTATACATCTAATGCTTATTTAATAGATTATAATTCATCGATTTTAACTTAATTTTCCTTATCCTTTCTTTAAATGATTTAATCTATATGACAATTTAATAATAATACTTGTTTGATTTAGTTTCCATTGTAACTCCTGTATTTCCAAGGAATTATTATTATAATTATTCATATGTTCTAATTATCTTCTATAATTATCCATTTCTAATTAATTTTAGCTCACTTATTGTTCTAATTATCTAAATGATATTTTATATATTACCTTGATTTCGATTCATAATGTAATAGAATTTATTCATAATCTTTTATTTTATCATTCAAATTTTAAATTTAAGTTTCAAATAATGCTTTTTCTGCATTTGATATCATATTATGACTATCCTCTTAGATTTATCTTTATTCTAAACGTTCTCTCATTTCAGATATCTCCTACCATAATTTTTAATATCTTGAACTTGCTTATTACAATTCATTCTATTATGATTAAACCTATTAAATATAAGTATTCTAATTATTAAAAAAGTATATACTTCTGATTAATCTTTTTGTATTTTTAATATACTTATTTATTCTTTCAGTTAATTTATAGTATTATTAAGAGAAGTAATAGTCTAATGATTATTATTTTGTTCCTATCTTATTTACTTTATATCATTTTCTAATTAATTAATATAAACAATATATTCTGTCTTTTGAGATTAGTCTTTTAATTGTTTTTCTAGACTAGATATCTTTTAATTCAAAAGATCATTCTCTTATTATAGTGAATCCTTTTAATTTAAAAAACTTTAGGATTTTATTTCCAAAGAAGTAATTGTTTCTTTTAATTATTCAAAAGTTTAATGATCTAATTATGTATGTTATAATTATTATCTGAGATTATCATTACTTATTTGAAGAGTTAATAATTTAATTTCTGCTTATTCTAATTTATAACTTAATTCTCTTTAACTATAATTGCTTTTTGTATTAGATGAATTAGGATGAGTATTGATGTGAATATTATGATTCATATTTGGATTCATATTCTCTTTATGCAATCTATTTTGTTAAGACAACAATAAATCTTAATATTTTCTGTCTGATTCTGATATTTACTATATAAGTTTTTTGTTTTCTTCTTGTTAATAATTTATTTAATGATTTAATTTAGAATTATCATTAACTAAGACAGTAATTTTTTATTGCAATTATTCCATTATTAATTTTAGTTTATCATACTCAGAATTACTTTATAATGTATTCAGATGATTTCTAATTTAATTGTTTTCTTCAACTAATTAATTAGATAATTATGCAGATGATTTAATAACTTATATTACTTGATCAAATTAACTTTAAACAACTCTATCAAATGATTTTTTGAGATCTTCCAACTAACAAATTGCAAATCTAAGTTGATCTTTCAAAATCTCAAAATTATTTATTTTCATTCCTTTTGGTATTGTTGTGCTCTTTTTATCAAAATTACTTTCTTATGTATAATTTAAAGTAGTATTAAAACTAGTAGAATCTAATAATCTATTAGGTTAGGTTTTATTAGGCATTAAAGTAGCAGTTGATCCAGATTTTCCTCTGACTTAATAGAACGAACTCCTCTAACTTTAATTGACTGGTAAATCTTTTATAGGTGATAATTAATCAATAATGCTCCTTTGATATATATATATTTAATTTACATTCTCATTTTCTAACAACTCATATAATTGGGATTGCAATGTTATTTCTGAGGTGGTGTTACACTGGATTGACGTACTTGATACATAGTTGCTGGTTTTTGAGTGAGTTACATACTCATTTTACTGTTATAAAAATTTGAATTATTAAATTTATATTTTTTTAATGAAAATGAAAACAAGATCAAGCTTGGTTGGCAAGTCTTTGGTTTCTTTCATGGTTTTCATCTTCAACTTAGTTGAATCTGGCTTCAACCATCTCTTCTAATTCAGCAACTAATTAGAGTTCGTTTCTTCTGGCTTAAGTGGCATAGTTGTATTCGTTGGCAAAAGTTGCGCATAAGGCTTAGGCTTAATCCCAAAGTTATTGGTTTCTTTAGAGTTTTCCTGATGCAGTTTATGCAATAGCTGATTGAGTTCCAATTTATTAGTTCAATGAATCGAGTTTATTTTAAAGTCTTTCGTTTTAAGCTTCAAGTCTAGCAATGGTTTATCCTAATCTATCCTTTTAGTCATTGAAGGCAGCAACTGAAACAGCGTTTGATTCAGTGAAATCATTGTATGCTTCTTGGATGTTACCTCTCAAAGTTTCTAAAAGTTAAGCAACTCTTTCAAGAGCTGATTCATCGAGTTATCCTTCTTAGGCAGCCAATTAAGCAAAGGCATAGAAGACTGGGGCAAACTTGGCAGTTTCCTTGATGTTGAAGGCAGTTTAAAGCATGCTCTTTGAAACTCTGCTGATTTCAGCGAAAGATCCTGATCCACTGTAGATGGTGGCTAAGATATCAGATGCTTCATCAATAGCATGGAGAGCATCTTCATAATCTCTTCCTCTTCTCTTGAAGTATCCAGCTTCAGTTTCTGCAGCACTCAAAACTGTATTTAAGTGTTCTTCAGCAGAGAAGTATTATTATTAGTTGACTTCTTATTAGTTGGTGGCTCTGATCTTTGATGTTTAAGCAACATTCAAGGCAGCAGTTGAATCTCTGAGGACATTGCTAGCATCAGTGACTTCAGCTCTTCTGAAAGCATCTTCAGATTCACATTCTGTGACTTAGACGTTGTAAATCTCATCATGATTAACTTATTCTGTGTTAACAGCATCTCTGAAATCTCTCAATACGTTCAAAATAGCATCGAGTGGTGATTTGTTCTTTAATTTGGCTTCAACTTCAGCCATAACTGCTGTCATTGATCTCTTCTTAGAGTAGTCTAAATTGAATTTTGTTGTAGCACTGGCAACGGCTAAAATGACTAATAAGCACAAGGCAAGTCTCATTGTAATAATAATATTTTTTTCTTTTTGATTTCCCTCCTCATATAATGTACACAATTTCAAAAACGGATTTTTTTATTGAAAAACAACTAACTAAATACAATTTTCAAATTCCTTCCCCTTTAAATATTTAACCAATTTTCCTTCATTCAACCTACTAAATCAATCTTCTACTGAATTCCTTTTGGTTTCATATTCTTTTATATGGATTTTGAACTTATATCAGACTATTCAAATTTAGCCCTCTTTTAAAAATAATAAAATATACTTTGAATCATAGTAAATCTTAAAATAAAAAATTTTAATTTATTTTCGACAATCTATTATAAATATATTATATCTTTATACATTTTTAATTACTATATCTTATATTTTATTAAATTTTCTATTTTGACAGATAATGAAATTGATTTTATAATCATTTGAAAATAAATAAAAATTTGGATTTTTTTTAAATGTTAAAAATATGGTAAATTATTTAGCAATCATATTTTATAAATAATATTATATAACACGAATAAATAAATCATTTAATAAACATTAGTCCAACAATTACAATTAAAATGCATATAATTACAATCCTATAACCTATTTTCGTTTTTTAAGACTATTGGGCTTTAACCAATTCTTATGATGCTTTTTAAGTTTTATTTTCTGCATATGTATAATTATCTTCTATTGTAAACATTTAATCAACCTATTAAGTTGCAACTTCATGGATTTTTTCATATATACTTTTAACTGTTTCCATACTCTTATGAACATTTTATAATCTCTATTTTCTTTAATTTACATTATCTTCAAATAATTATACTTCAACTTAATGATTATCATGCAATAAACTTGTATCTTCATCTACATTATTATATTCCATTTCTTATAATCTCTTATTTTGTTATGAATAATATTTCATTAATTTCATAATCTAATTCTCATCTCCCTTTTTTATACGTTTTTATATTTCTTTTTTTATATTTTCTGAGATCTGTTTACATTTATTCAAATATTCAGATCGATGATTTCCTTCGACTTCTTCATCAAGGAGATTTCGAAATTTTTCAATATCATTTTTTAATTTATCATCTTCATCTTAATTATCTTAATACATTTAATATATAAATCATAACAAATATTATTCTTTTATCTTAAAATTATAATATTAACACGTATTAGATAATTCATCTAATATTAATTTATTTTATTGAAGCCTATAAGAATATTATTAATGCTTATCCAATATTGTTTTTACTTACTATTCTCTTTCATTTTAAAGTTTCTCCAATCTTTATTTAACATTAATAAATTTGATATCTTAAGTAATAGATCTGACTGTTCTATTTGGTTCTGATCGCTGTTCTTCATATCTATTTGTATTTGTATATTTATTAGATTCACTGCTAGACATATTTATTTATAAAGATTTCTTCTTCTATTTTATTTTGTTTTTTGATTTCTTTTATTATTCTTTTTATGTTAAATTTAATAGTTTGTTATAAATTTAGGTTAACCTATTTTATTCTTGTTCCTCCTTTGTCTTATTTGATTTCTCAAGATGTTAATGAATCTAATAATAAATAATATTTTGTACTATTTCATCTTATCCATGTAATCGTTATTTAATATTATCTAAACGTTAAGACTTTCTTTGAGATGCAGCATCCATACTTTTGTTTAGTTTCTTAAAAAATTCGAACTAAAATATAGATCATTATTCAACTACCTCATCTAAATGCTTGGGCTCTGCTAATTTTATAGTTGGTGTTTCTTTTATAGTTACTTCTTTTTTTTATTAAATTTTCTATGGAACTTACTCCACTAATTCTACTTTTGTTGTAATTTCTTCTTTGATTTCTCTGATTTCTTCTTATGCTGACATCTTTCTAGGTTTCCTTCTAACATTCTTTTTTTTTAACTTATTTGATAATGCTAACAATTAAGTTTCCTTTTTTTTCAAACTCTGTTCCATCGATTAAGACAGTTTATCATTTAGCTTTTATAGTCTTGCACCATAATCAGCTTATAATTTCTTTTTGTTTTCATGAATTGATTCTAATCTTAAAACATTCTATTTTGCTCTTTGCATTTACTCTTCATATTTATATAATTGGTTTACCTTATAATGGATTCAAATATGCTCCACTATCTTAACTTCCTTCAAGGCAATTTTCAAGTCCTAATCATATATATATAATTTACTTTGGAGTTCCTTAGTGTAAGGCAATAATATATTTTACATAAATTATTAAAATCTAAAATAAAATTGATCGAATATATTTAATGATATAATACATCATTTTATTTAGAATCACAACATTTGATTTATGAATTCTTATCAAAAATAATTATAAAGATTTTAAAATCTATTTCATTATTTACTATTACTTAATCATATCTAATTATAAGAGATTATCTTTCTAAGTTTAATAGAGATAAATAATATTAAAGAATATAATGAAATTAGAGATTTCCTTATCAACCAAATATGATAAAATATGATTAAATAAATTAAAATCAAATTTTTTATTCTTTTGTATTCTTTCTAACCTAAATTAATAATATAATAAAAGGATTAGTAATTTGAATTATGAATATGGTTTCAATTTTAGATTTTATTAACTAATTATAAATAAATATATAGAAATACAAAAAAATAATCTACTGCTCTAAAATGGCAACGAAGTTTTTTTTTAGATATGTTAATTGCAGTAGGAATATAAATGATTATCATATATCAGTAATAGATTTATAAGATGTCAATAAAATAATCAAAATCAGATTAATTATTCCATTTTTATTATATGAAATACAAATATTTATAAAATTATTTAATCAACAACATCCCCTTTTTTTGAAGATGCAATTTTTTCTTTTTTAAATTAATTAAAAATTATTAAGTTAATTTTTGCTTATTAAAGAAAAATATTCTTTTATAGACTACTTCACATTCTAATTATCAAGAATGTTTGTAAGATATTTTTTAATTTGAGGCATTAACAAATATAGTTTATATTACACCATACACTATTAAATTCATAATTTGCCATTACTAACAATAGGATTTCATTTACTGCACTAAAATAATAGATACAATATACCTCAAATCTGTTATTGAGATAGTTTTAAGGTTCTGTTTAATTTGATTTATTTGAGTATGTTGATCAAATTTATTCTCGGATTTCAGAATATCTATAAATTTTTGATTATACTCAATTGTAGCCAATAAAAATAATGATCTTACAGCTCTTGAAGGTGATGAAAGTGGATGAAAATATAGATTTATTAGATCTTATTCAGGTTATCTTGCCAATATTGATTAAATGAACAGGTTTTTATATTTTTGTTTCGATATTAAATTGAAATAATCCTAATGGGTTAGATATAATTCTGGTATTTTAAAAAAAATTCTCAAAATATATTTTTCTAAAACAGGGAACTTTTCGAAATCGAAATTACATATATATAAGGAAGTCAAATCACAGACAGCTCTTAAAAATATAAAACTAATTACCTAAAATCTGCAATAGTAAAGTTGGGTAAATCAAAAATATAATTAAGTTGGCCATTGTTTAGGAAAGTTTTGATAAAAAAATGTAATATACCCTCTACGTCTGCTAATCTCGAAACTCTATTTTCAGGAACTCTATCTCCTATCAGGTTTCAAATAACACTCTTTAGAATAATCCAAAAGTTTAGTAAATTCATTTTAATGCCAATCTAAATATGAATCCACTCTTATTTATATATTGAATGATTTTTTTGCATAAGGATATAATCTGAAATCAGGTTTATTTATGCAAATGTATTTTATTATTGCATGGCTTTCAAATAAACTGAAAAACTCTTCAGTAATGGTTGGAACAGTTGGTTAGGATTTATATTAGGAAAAGCATGGTTGAGATTTTCTCCTTTCAGAACATCAATGATTTTTCATTGAAATCACTCTTAGTTACATTTTGCTTATTGGTATTTTCTATTATGTTAAAAGTGTTTCTATGTGAATAAGGATTAAAATAAATTGTTATAGACATTTGTTATTAAATTTAATATTACATAGTTCAGAAATTATTCGCTTAAATGATTAGCAAATATATAATTATTTATAATGAAATATTAATCATTGAGTAACGATATTAGAAGACTAAAACGAATAGAAAAGAATAAAGAAGATTAGTTGAATAAGCTAATAAGTAATATCGGATAAGAAATTTAATAAAAGTAACTATAATAATTATATAATTAGCATAGATGATCCGTATAAATATTTAATCAAAAGAAATTATTCAATAGATGATAGAACTATAATTAAAAGAGACGATACGTAATAACGTAGACTATAAGGAAGTATGTCCATAGCTGAAATTTGGACAAAAAAGATGAAAAAATAATGTGATAAAATATTAGAAGAGATTAAGAAGAAACAAAATAAATAAATGTAAAGTTTATCAATTAGTTAGACTCGATTTTTCAAAATAATAATCAATAGATAATAGATAAATAGAAGAATCAAATTAATGTATACAATTATTTTATAAATAAAGCTCCATAAAATGCAAGCTTGATGATTGAGTAATTGGGGCTTAAAGCCTTAATGGGTAAAACTAAATACAAAAACAAAATTAAATAAATAGTTTAGTCTCCTCAATAAAAATTACAATCTTAATCCTAAATTTTAACTCAATCTCCTTAACCTATCAGAAATAGATTTGCTTCTAATTTTCATTTTGAGCCCATACAATATTCTCCAATTTAGCAGAACCATCACAACAGCCAAAGTACGAGTAGTAGTACAAAAAATTTGTATAACGTAATAATAATAGTAATAGAATCAATAGCAATTTTAGAAAATACAGTGTCAATAATGAAGTTAAAAGAGAAGTAAATAAATGTATATATGAATGTGATTCCTTAATTCATAATTATAAAGATGTTGATAAGTATTAATCTATTGTAATAATATTCGTAGAAAGTTAAAACAACCATAGAAAAGCCGTTTAGATATTTTTATTGAAAAATAGAGAAAAGAAGCATTAGAAGAACTAATCTTTATCGAAAGAAATAAACCTAAAAACATATATTGATCTATATTTTTATTTATTATTTTCCATTAATAAATCATTAGATAAGTAAATGTCATAATAGATTAAACAGTAGATGTAAAATCCTAATTAATTAATTTGAATTACAATTTTCTACTTCTAAAAAGTTAAAAAAAATCCTTATTTATATGGAAATTAGTAGGAAATAAACTCTTCCAAATATAGATAGTTAATAATTACCATCATATTTTAATATATTTCAATATATTATTTGAAAACACTGTTTCTGAAAAACAAAAGAAAATATTCCTATAAATGAGGCATTGAAGAAAATATGGTCTTCCTTTTGAATAAAAAATGAAATTATTCTCATTTAATAAATGCATATCTCAAAATGTTCAAGAAATTAATTTTTAAGTGCACCCTCTTATATTTAAATATGTCTCTGCAGTTGCCTTTGGACAATTTCGAATATAATTGAAAACAATTGAATCGCAATAATATAATTGAGTAACAGGATCTTTATATTTTGCCTAAAATATATTTTTTTGTTACTTCAAATCCAGTTACATCACAATATCGCTTAGCCGGTTTAAGTGATGGAGGTGCTTCAATTGAGAGATCTAAATATTAAAAAATTTTCTACAATTAAATGCTGAATTATTAATTTGAACCTAAGCTTTGATGTTATTGAACTTTCTTGATTATGATTGACGCCTTGATTTTAACTCTTTTTTTCTTGCTTGCCATTAGGAATTCTTAAATTAATAAGACATGATTAATGTATTTGTTTTATATTAATAAATATATATTTANCAAAATAATAATCAATAGATAATAGATAAATAGAAGAATCAAATTAATGTATACAATTATTTTATAAATAAAGCTCCATAAAATGCAAGCTTGATGATTGAGTAATTGGGGCTTAAAGCCTTAATGGGTAAAACTAAATACAAAAACAAAATTAAATAAATAGTTTAGTCTCCTCAATAAAAATTACAATCTTAATCCTAAATTTTAACTCAATCTCCTTAACCTATCAGAAATAGATTTGCTTCTAATTTTCATTTTGAGCCCATACAATATTCTCCAATTTAGCAGAACCATCACAACAGCCAAAGTACGAGTAGTAGTACAAAAAATTTGTATAACGTAATAATAATAGTAATAGAATCAATAGCAATTTTAGAAAATACAGTGTCAATAATGAAGTTAAAAGAGAAGTAAATAAATGTATATATGAATGTGATTCCTTAATTCATAATTATAAAGATGTTGATAAGTATTAATCTATTGTAATAATATTCGTAGAAAGTTAAAACAACCATAGAAAAGCCGTTTAGATATTTTTATTGAAAAATAGAGAAAAGAAGCATTAGAAGAACTAATCTTTATCGAAAGAAATAAACCTAAAAACATATATTGATCTATATTTTTATTTATTATTTTCCATTAATAAATCATTAGATAAGTAAATGTCATAATAGATTAAACAGTAGATGTAAAATCCTAATTAATTAATTTGAATTACAATTTTCTACTTCTAAAAAGTTAAAAAAAATCCTTATTTATATGGAAATTAGTAGGAAATAAACTCTTCCAAATATAGATAGTTAATAATTACCATCATATTTTAATATATTTCAATATATTATTTGAAAACACTGTTTCTGAAAAACAAAAGAAAATATTCCTATAAATGAGGCATTGAAGAAAATATGGTCTTCCTTTTGAATAAAAAATGAAATTATTCTCATTTAATAAATGCATATCTCAAAATGTTCAAGAAATTAATTTTTAAGTGCACCCTCTTATATTTAAATATGTCTCTGCAGTTGCCTTTGGACAATTTCGAATATAATTGAAAACAATTGAATCGCAATAATATAATTGAGTAACAGGATCTTTATATTTTGCCTAAAATATATTTTTTTGTTACTTCAAATCCAGTTACATCACAATATCGCTTAGCCGGTTTAAGTGATGGAGGTGCTTCAATTGAGAGATCTAAATATTAAAAAATTTTCTACAATTAAATGCTGAATTATTAATTTGAACCTAAGCTTTGATGTTATTGAACTTTCTTGATTATGATTGACGCCTTGATTTTAACTCTTTTTTTCTTGCTTGCCATTAGGAATTCTTAAATTAATAAGACATGATTAATGTATTTGTTTTATATTAATAAATATATATTTATATAAATTATATTTAATGTATAATTTATAAAATAATCCTTAATTGGAAAATATTGATTGAAAACAATATTATATATATATATCACATAGATAAAACCCTGACTTCAAGATTTAAAGCTGATAGATTATTGCATAAATAGATTGTTGAAAGATATTAAACAATTTAAAAATAATAGTATTATAAATAACTGAATAACAATATTTCTGTATTTTAAGATAGTTTTAAAATAGATTTATTCACAATCATAAAACTATAATAACCTTTTAATTTAGAAAGAATTTTTACTGACATTCAATATTCTAATATACAAGTCTTGGGTTTAAAATTTAGAAAAATAATTAAATTTTTACAGGATATTTGTACATTGTGGGTGAGTAACATAAATGAACAGCAATTTATACTTATTTTAATTCTTCTTTACTTGATTATTTTATTTAGAGAAAAAAATTGTAAATTATAAATATAAACAATTATTATTCTCTTAATTGCTAAAAATTTTGCTATAAATAATACAATAATAGATTTCAAATATAAAATATGATTATTAATGACTAATTTCAATTTGATTTCAAACTTTTAAATTTACAATTAATTCATTTTGGCTTTTAATAGCAAGGGATACTAGATAGTGACTCTACATAATATTCCATTCTTCCCATTCATCCATTAATTCTAATTTTTCAATTCTTTTCCTTTCTTCAGGGTCAGTTCCAATTTGATACAAGGTTTTCATATCATAAATTTCTACATGATTAAACCATTTCTGTAATCTGTCCTTATGTGCTTGTAAAGATGGAAATGCCTCAATACCAACCAAAGGGCACCCTCTATACTAAAACTCTACTAAAAATTTTATACCTCGAAATTTCTCACCATCATTTTACCAAATTGATCACTTGGATTAAACATTTCGTAATTCAAAAATGTTAGCTGTGGGAACCATTAAGTTAATCCATCTAATAATCGATTTGTGGCATCACTCCTTATATAGGTTAAAACGCATTCTGCATAAACCAAGGTTGGAATAGTGACATCAATTGATTTTAACTATTAATATAATTGCTCAGAGTTGCATAGATCTTCTCCAAATAATAAATAGTTTTTATTTTATGATTTCGCTTATAATTTATTTTCTGAAATTATAATTTCTCCCAATAATGTTTTTAATTTATTAGACTCTTTAAGCTTCTTTATTTTTCTATCAACTACAACAGGTAAATCTACTTCAACATACGTAAATTCATTGTTTGGATATGTTTGCCACATTATAAAGGGCAGAGTATCGTAACCAGATCCAAGCGAGATTATATTGCATTTTTATTATTTGCTTATATAAGTTGAAACTATTCTGTGAAAAATGTTGAATCTGCACCAATAACCTCTATGAATTAAAACATCCTTTTTAGATGTTCCCTTTACAAATTCTTCAGAGAATTCATCTTTGAAGTATTTTTACTTGATTGCAGATCTATTATGTTTGATTTTATTACATTTTTGCCATTGTTGCCTCTGCATTAGTGTCTTCAACGTGTATTTAAATTGGATTGTGTTGCTGCATTTTCTTTTCAAAATTGTTTATTATTATAAATATTTAGATAATAAACCTGTGAATTAACTTAATTGGGCTCTCTATTTATAGATTGAGGTTCAATATCCTTTTTTTTTCTATCAGTGTCAACTTTAAAAACTAGAATTTGTCCCATAAAGCACATTCTAGTCTCTATAAAATGATTGTTTTTCATTTAGCCAATTAAATTGTATCCATAGTGTTCATAAAGTAATATTAAAATAAAAAGTTGAAGGAAATATAATTAGGTTGACAGTTTTTACTATCATATTAATTATCCTGCTAAAAGCTATTAAAGAAATTACATCATAATTAGCTTTAAAATTACAATCAAATAATAGGGTTTTTTATAGGAAAAAACTATAAAAATTGGCTTATTTCAGAGTATCATTAAATGTAGATATGGTTTTTCTCCTTAAATTTGAAGGAAGTGCTAGATTGAATTTAGACTCAGACATTATTTGCAGATTTCTTAAATTATTAAAAATCAGATTAAGTTTTATTATAATTTAGTCGGATTTAATTTTAGTGATTTTTCCTTAAAATATTCTTTTAGCTTTAGATTATATTACATCTTAATTTTTAGAATATAAAATTTTTTATAAAAATATTGCTTAGAAAAAAAAATAACCGAAAAGATGGAATTGAACCACCGACCTGGGGATAAGTGAATTAACACTACAGTCCCTCGCTCTACCAACTGAGCTATGTTTCGGATGTTAACATAAATCAATAATTTTTATATGTCAAACCTTTTCCAAAATTGATTCTAATGATCAGAAAAATATCCCAATAAAATTCAACTTCAAATTTTAATATTTAATATGCTTTGTTATTACATATCCATTTTAAACATCATTTAAATGAAAAAATAAAGTAGCACAATCTAATTTTTATCTATATTTATATTCACATTTTTATTTATTAGATGTAAAGGTATAAGAATCGGATTCAAAAGTTTTTTTTTTTAGATTAGCATTAAATTTAATCTTAGTTTAAGAAGAGCAATTTTGTAATTTAGATGAATTACATCACTAATAATTTAATCAAAAATAAAAATTTTCCCGAATCTAGTTTCCATTAATTAAATTGTTTTTAGATACATAAATACATATATATTTTACAAAATGTTTATACCGAAAATGATTGAAAATATCCTAGAATTACAATGCCATGAAAAACATAGCAAACCTATATGTGTAATAAGACTTGGCTAGTATATATCAAATGAAAAAAGACTTTACTGTGAAGAATGTTCAAAACATAATGATATTTAATATATTCCATTTACATTGGCTGTTGATTTATCAAAGGATTTTATTGAAAAAAAATTGAGAAATTTTTAGAATTTATTTGTTCCTTTCTTTATGATTTTTTTTTCTTAAATTATAGTCAAGCATTTTTCAACTTAAATCCTAATTATTTAAAAATTCAATGAATTAGAAATAATTAGTTTAAAGATTCTACTAATAAATTTCGCGATTGTTTTAAGATTATGATAGAAATATCAAAGTAGCCTAAAGAAAGTTAATTGAAATCTATAATTCATTTTTAAGATAATTAAAGTTTATCAGATTAACTTGTTTTTCTAGAATCTTCTTATTNATTAGCTTTAAAATTACAATCAAATAATAGGGTTTTTTATAGGAAAAAACTATAAAAATTGGCTTATTTCAGAGTATCATTAAATGTAGATATGGTTTTTCTCCTTAAATTTGAAGGAAGTGCTAGATTGAATTTAGACTCAGACATTATTTGCAGATTTCTTAAATTATTAAAAATCAGATTAAGTTTTATTATAATTTAGTCGGATTTAATTTTAGTGATTTTTCCTTAAAATATTCTTTTAGCTTTAGATTATATTACATCTTAATTTTTAGAATATAAAATTTTTTATAAAAATATTGCTTAGAAAAAAAAATAACCGAAAAGATGGAATTGAACCACCGACCTGGGGATAAGTGAATTAACACTACAGTCCCTCGCTCTACCAACTGAGCTATGTTTCGGATGTTAACATAAATCAATAATTTTTATATGTCAAACCTTTTCCAAAATTGATTCTAATGATCAGAAAAATATCCCAATAAAATTCAACTTCAAATTTTAATATTTAATATGCTTTGTTATTACATATCCATTTTAAACATCATTTAAATGAAAAAATAAAGTAGCACAATCTAATTTTTATCTATATTTATATTCACATTTTTATTTATTAGATGTAAAGGTATAAGAATCGGATTCAAAAGTTTTTTTTTTTAGATTAGCATTAAATTTAATCTTAGTTTAAGAAGAGCAATTTTGTAATTTAGATGAATTACATCACTAATAATTTAATCAAAAATAAAAATTTTCCCGAATCTAGTTTCCATTAATTAAATTGTTTTTAGATACATAAATACATATATATTTTACAAAATGTTTATACCGAAAATGATTGAAAATATCCTAGAATTACAATGCCATGAAAAACATAGCAAACCTATATGTGTAATAAGACTTGGCTAGTATATATCAAATGAAAAAAGACTTTACTGTGAAGAATGTTCAAAACATAATGATATTTAATATATTCCATTTACATTGGCTGTTGATTTATCAAAGGATTTTATTGAAAAAAAATTGAGAAATTTTTAGAATTTATTTGTTCCTTTCTTTATGATTTTTTTTTCTTAAATTATAGTCAAGCATTTTTCAACTTAAATCCTAATTATTTAAAAATTCAATGAATTAGAAATAATTAGTTTAAAGATTCTACTAATAAATTTCGCGATTGTTTTAAGATTATGATAGAAATATCAAAGTAGCCTAAAGAAAGTTAATTGAAATCTATAATTCATTTTTAAGATAATTAAAGTTTATCAGATTAACTTGTTTTTCTAGAATCTTCTTATTTCTCATCTAAAAAAAGTAGACCAAATGTAACTGCTTAAAAGTTTTCGAAAAAGGTAACAGAAAATATACTATAATTTTAATTTAAACTTTTCCAATAATCCTTCAAACAATAAGAAGAATGTAATGCTTTTGCTATAAATCATAATAATACTATTCTTTTAGCTGCTTCACCATTATTTAGTATAAATATAAATTAAATGTCTTAATAGTAAGAAAAGTAAGAAAATGAAGTAGTATTAAATCTAAAAGTTATTTAATATTAGAAGGCAATCATGATAATTTTGTGACTACTCTTAATTTTTTTAGCTCAACTCCTATGAGAGATTCTTTCATTTCTGGTTCAAGTGATACAACTATCATTATTTGGTCTCCTACTACTAAATAAAACCATTTAAAATTATTTTGGAATCCCTTAATCAAATTATTTGGTCATTAATCAATAATTTTTTGTTTAGTTCTTCACCATGAAAAAATCTTTTCATTAGTGATGGTTCTGATAATAAAATCAAATTTTGGCCCTCTTCAATCTAACAATAATGGTTTTTCTAACAGACAGTGGAAGAACACTTGGATTTACTATATGGATTATATCTAAATGATAGTGGAAATCAACTCATATCTTGTGGTAATTATAAATTAATATTAGTAATTCAAAATTCTAATAATAAAGAATGGTATGTCAAATAAAAGATCTAAATTTAAAATATTGGATTTCGTATATCTTTTATTACTAATAAATTATTTGCTTTTCATCCAGCATCAAAAGCTTATTTGTATTTCTATGAGTTAACTCTTTTGGAGAATTTGTAAATGCTGAAGTTCTATAAGTCAAAGGAGTGGATTAATGTTGTGATTTTTTCTTTCCTTCTGTATATATTCCTTTAAAAGGTTTTATGCTATTAAAAATGGCTAAAATATCAATATAATATCATTCTCCTTTCTCTCTTAAAATAGGGGTTGTCAATTAATATAGGCTATTGAATTTGAAACTTAGAAATTTTTATAGGGAAGAATCTATGGGACTATTAGTGTAGACGGTCAATTTATTGTAATTTGGGATATTTAATCCAAGTAGATTTAGATCAGATAACAAAGAATGATGATTTGATTGGTTATTATTGTTAATTAATATAAAAATAGATTTTGAAATATAATAAAAATACAATAATTAAATAAATTTATCAACAATTTCAATTTAAATTATGAAAATTTATATAATTTAAGAATCTCTTGATAAAATATTTTAAAAGAATATTTTTAACTTATTTAGAAAAATGTAAACAAGGAGTTATTTATAATAATAATAAATTAAATTAAATTTTAGGAGCTTAAACTTGTGCAATTTTTTATTAACAATATTGACAATGTTAATATATAAAAAATATGGTCATTTGCTTTTTTATTACTTTTAATTATAAATTTCTCAATAATAATAAATAAGAGTATTATTATTTTTTAAAAATAACATTCAATTAAAAAATTTCAAATTAATCCTGAAAATTGCATTTAATCTAATAATTAAGAATAATAGAAATATACACTCCGAAAATATTTTAATTTCATTCTTCTTACAATTACAAATAAATTTCACAAAAATCTAGTTTTTTTAGTTTTCCCTACTAATTTAAACTTACAATTATCTTTTATTTTTCTTTTTTATTTATTCATGATTAACATTATCATATGAATTTTAGTTTATTAATATCTAGCTATCAATTTTGTTAAATATCTGAGTAATTACTTGGATATTTATTATATATTTAATATTTTGTTCTTTATTTTCTAATGAATTTAGAAAACCATAAATATTTCACTAATTCAAAGAAAACAAAAGCAAATCCTTAAATCAAAAGGTAAAGCATCCAAATTAGATTCTTCTAATTCTTATTTTGTTAGCGCTTGTATTTTTGAGATACAAGTATAAAATGTAATTGTTAAGAAATTTAAACAGGTAATTTCTTAAATTTAAATATCAAACCATCTTCAATAGTTTAAAAAAATTAGAATAGATGTTATTAAAATAATAATTTATTTTATTTTGAATATTTATTTGGATACATTTATATTATTATCATAACTATCTCAATTTTACCCTTTACTTTGAATCTCTTCATATATTTCAAAATTATGTTAGAATTACAATAAATTGTCATTATTCTCTTCTATTTAAATAATTTCGTTCATAGATTTTTTAAATATTTTCTTCACTTATTTATGTATATATTTTTTGAATATCTTTAATTCTACTTTATTTTTTTTATGAGTTGCTCAAATGTAGTTTTAAAAATACAAAGTCTTTTTTTGATCTAAATATTTATGTATTTAACCCTTTAAGTTCTTTATGTATATAAATATACAAATACCAAATATCTTATTATTTTAATCCTTTTAACTGATTTGTGGTGAGTTACTTAAAATACGAATGATTTGGGGAAAAAAAATAGAGCACATTAATCAATCAATCTCCGTCAGGTAGCTTTATAATTAATTAAGCTCTCTATATAAATCTATTTTTGTGGCTTTTTTAATTAGGTATGCTATCTTTAGATTGACATGTAATGACTCTCATTAAAGCAACTCCTAATAAAGACTCACTTGTAATGCAGGCAGATTTGAATTTTGGTAAGTAATACCCTTTCAGCTTAAATTCTGTATATAAAGATTTTAAGGATTCAAATATCCAATTGGCCTCTTCAATTCTAATAACCTAATCTATAAAAAAAAATAATAATATTCTTAATATATCTTAATTTGAGAAAAGATTGATATCACTTAAGTTTTATGAGTTAATTGTACTCTGTATTTAATATGTTGAGAATATATTTTATTTTCAAACTATAAATTTTACATACCAAAAAAATCGAATGAAGTTGTTGTTATATTGAATTAATATTTTACGTAACATATTTTATAAAATCAATATTTTTAGATTGAATTCGAAATATAAAGTCCAAAGCAATTCTCCTTATTTAAGCTAATATTGATTCTTCTGTAATAAATATTGAAAATTTAAATCATTGTTAATGAACAATGGTAGTATAATTTTTGAATCTTCTGGAGAATACGACATTATTGGGAATAACATGACATTTTATTTGGTAATAGAGATTGCAAACTTAAATACTCAGTTTAATTAGGGTTTTCATTTCAACTTCATCATAGATGCAAATAGGAAAATTATTAATTAAATTAATTTAATTCATTGAGTATAATCATTCCTGAAAAGAGCTAAAAGGCAGCTTTAACATTTTCTAAACGAAAATGAAGCAAAATAGTATTACAATTCACTCAAAAATCAAGGTGTCATACAAAAAAAGTGTAAAATCAAGAAAAAATACATAACTGATTAGAAAACTGACTAAAAATAGATATACAAAAGAATAAATATCCTCATTAACATGACTCACAAAATTAAATATATTCTAAAGAAAAGCAGGTTCCAAATAGTAAATTTTATTAAACTTAATTTCATTATACTTAAACTCATATTCATTGGTTGAGATAGCACGTTGAACAATCAGAAGCTAATGAATTATGGAATTCAAAATTATTTTCTAATAATATATTGAGGAATTCTAATTTGATGAGCAAACAGTCTAATTATAAACCTTCAAAAATTTACTTAAAGATAGTGGACTAACTTTCAGATAAACTAGATAAAGAAATTAAAAATATTTACTTAACAATATATAAGAATTGAAGGTAATATATTGCTAACAATATTTATCAAATATTAAGGAATAGTTTTAGATATTTATTGAGATGAGTCTAATTTTACACTTTAATCAACTGAATCCAAAATGTTGGTAAAACAAGGAAAAATAAAAATATAGGCTCATGGTTTAAATGAAGTAGCGTTTAATATTATTGGATGTGTATGATTAAATGGTTATGCTAACTTTTAATTATGTATTGGAAACTTAAATTAGTATATTTTTGGATAGTTTATGAATGCTTTAAGAAACGACATCTAAAATAATTATAAAAACCAAAAATTTGTTATTTTTATGGATAATAGCTCAATTCATCATAGCAAAATTAAAAAAATGTTTTTTTTGACTAAATTAATGTGCAATTTTTGGCACCTTATTCTCCAGAACATAGTCCTATTGAAGGTGTGTGGAAATTATTAAAATAGCATGTGTATAAATCTTAATTATCAAATTTTAATGTTATGCATAACATAGTTCTTAATTATGTGAAGACTTTAAACATATAATTGATAATTTAAGTTAACATAGTTGGAAAGAAATAGAAAAATCATTATTGAGATGATAATCGATCAAAATAATTGAAAATCAAAATCATTATTAATCCAAAAACATAATTTAATAATTATTTCGAGTGTATTAACCTACTTTTTTTCTTATCAATAGTATGATAACAAAGTTGAAAATGATATTCAAAATATAAATTATCTAGATTTTATTCATAATTCAATTACTTAGTTTTATTTAATCTCTCTGATATAGATTAAATACCTTATTTCTTTATCTACTATTTCATATTATAAAAATAATTGTTATATTGTGTTTTCTTTTGAGGTAGAATTTTTTTTTCAGTTTTTTTTTGAATATAAAATTTATCTAATTTATTAATATACATTTATTTTGAAATGATTTAAAATAGTTTTCTAGATGATTAAAATCATTAGCTAGTTCAACCAACTAGAAATGATTAAAATGCCCCTATTTAATAAAGAAGTTGGATAATTTAATAATTATTATAATTAAAAAGATGCATTACATATAATCCTGACCCTGAACTAATTTGGGAAGGACATAAACCCATCTCATCGTATAGTGAATTTTATGAGTTTATTGAATCTCATTATTAAGAAGTTAAAAGATAATCAAGCCTTAAAAAATATTACACTAAAATAATATTTCAAATATTCATTTATTGTTTAAATTTACTTGAGATTATTTTAACATTAATTTATAAGGAGTACAATAAAATGAATGAAACTGCAGATACATTTTATGCATGCTTCTTAATTTCTCTTATTTTATGTGGTATAATGCATGTAGCAGCCTTATTTTACACACATAAGTTTAGAGAAGTAATGAAAATTGGTGTTATTGATGATTTACATTTTTTTATATACTACTTGATTATGGGAGTATTGAGTTATTTTAAATTAGCTCCATTTATTTATTATATGAATAGAGATTAATCAATTAGATAATTCTCATTTAGTGAAATTAATAAATATTTATAATTAAGTGAAGATGATAAATTTAGAAATCCATGTAGGCTTTTTAAAAAAAGAACAAAGCCTGTTAATATGTTTAGGGATTTAATATTTCATAATACAGCACTTCTTTCCATGATGATCACCATGACAATTTAAACAATTCCTTAACTTTTTATATAAGGCCTTTATAATACATACTATCAACGATGGGATGATGGATTCAATTTTATGACTTACATAGTATTACTAACCAATTTGCTTTATTATCTCTCTGAATTTTTTTTTATCTTATTTATGACAGTCTATAGATATATGAACACAGCCCTTAATTTATATTTGTAAAAAATTAAATTATAATCGATTTAAGAAACAAAACAATTATTAAAATCTGATTTAAATTATATGGGATTTGTGAAATCATATTATTTTCATATTGATTCAAGTGCATTTAGTCCTTATTAAAAGAAAAGATGTATGATTTAAATAATATTTTTCTTAATGAAATAGAAAACTATAAAAAATATAGAATTTCATAATATTGATTTATACAATGAAGTTACATTATAATATTTAGCTAATTGTTTTAAATTGATTAAAGTAGAATCAATCAGTTTATTATATTTTAATCAACAAAGCTTATAATTAATGAATCGTATTTTTTAGGGTATGCCTAATTTGATAATTGAAAAATAAACTCCTGAAAATCTTAATACTAAATGGGAAGCTGACAATATTAATGCTAATGCATTAGATGAATAAATAAATAGAATTTAATTTATTGAAAATCCTAAAATAAATGCAGGATGGTAAGTTTTAAGACAAAATCAGATTTCAAGAACTTAATCAATTTAGGTAACTCAAGATTTTAAAGATTTGATTACACAAAAAAATATTTATTCTTAAGAAACAGATTAAACAATTATTAATGAGGCTAAATTAACAATTAATCAAATTACAAAAAGCCTTCTTTTAGATGAAAAAATAGGAAAACTTACTTGCTTTATTAAACTTCATAATTATTATGAAGATTTGATCAAATTAACATAGTATCAAAAATGTGTGTAATCCTTTATTTCTTTATTGAATTTAAGTTTTTAAATTGTAATTATTGTTTATTTAACTGGCGATTATGATTTGTTTATGTCTGCATTAATATTTTTAAATGTAATAAATCCTGCACTATAACTAATATCATTTTTAGTTTTTTAATTTCAAACATTTAGAGATTAAGAAATTGTTAGGAAATTTGTGAATGCTTTTTTATTTGGATTATTTAATTATTTTAATATATGGGAATCAATTTTACTTATTTTTTATAAAACTTAGAATCCATTATTACTGGGTATTTAACGAGATTTTAGCTCTGATACTTATATAAAATTTAAAAGTTATGCTTTAAAATTCAGAGGAACTCTTGCTGTTTCAGTATTTTAGTATCCGAAAGCTAATATTGATGATACAATTTAGGAAATAAAGAAACAACCATTTTTTTAGGCAATAATGTGGAGAGCAAGTGTTGAGGAGGCTTTAAATAAGATTCCTTAATTTTTTATATTTATCTTAGCTTTAACTTAAAATGATGTAACTGCATTATGGGTGCTATCTTTTCTAATGCAATTGAAAGAAAGTATATTTGCACTAAAGGATATTTTAGAATTAGTTATTAAAGCATTTTTTATACCAGCCTTAAATTTAAGCACAGATTCAGTGGATTAATTCTTTTAATCCATTTTGTATTTTCGATCTANAAAAGAAAAGATGTATGATTTAAATAATATTTTTCTTAATGAAATAGAAAACTATAAAAAATATAGAATTTCATAATATTGATTTATACAATGAAGTTACATTATAATATTTAGCTAATTGTTTTAAATTGATTAAAGTAGAATCAATCAGTTTATTATATTTTAATCAACAAAGCTTATAATTAATGAATCGTATTTTTTAGGGTATGCCTAATTTGATAATTGAAAAATAAACTCCTGAAAATCTTAATACTAAATGGGAAGCTGACAATATTAATGCTAATGCATTAGATGAATAAATAAATAGAATTTAATTTATTGAAAATCCTAAAATAAATGCAGGATGGTAAGTTTTAAGACAAAATCAGATTTCAAGAACTTAATCAATTTAGGTAACTCAAGATTTTAAAGATTTGATTACACAAAAAAATATTTATTCTTAAGAAACAGATTAAACAATTATTAATGAGGCTAAATTAACAATTAATCAAATTACAAAAAGCCTTCTTTTAGATGAAAAAATAGGAAAACTTACTTGCTTTATTAAACTTCATAATTATTATGAAGATTTGATCAAATTAACATAGTATCAAAAATGTGTGTAATCCTTTATTTCTTTATTGAATTTAAGTTTTTAAATTGTAATTATTGTTTATTTAACTGGCGATTATGATTTGTTTATGTCTGCATTAATATTTTTAAATGTAATAAATCCTGCACTATAACTAATATCATTTTTAGTTTTTTAATTTCAAACATTTAGAGATTAAGAAATTGTTAGGAAATTTGTGAATGCTTTTTTATTTGGATTATTTAATTATTTTAATATATGGGAATCAATTTTACTTATTTTTTATAAAACTTAGAATCCATTATTACTGGGTATTTAACGAGATTTTAGCTCTGATACTTATATAAAATTTAAAAGTTATGCTTTAAAATTCAGAGGAACTCTTGCTGTTTCAGTATTTTAGTATCCGAAAGCTAATATTGATGATACAATTTAGGAAATAAAGAAACAACCATTTTTTTAGGCAATAATGTGGAGAGCAAGTGTTGAGGAGGCTTTAAATAAGATTCCTTAATTTTTTATATTTATCTTAGCTTTAACTTAAAATGATGTAACTGCATTATGGGTGCTATCTTTTCTAATGCAATTGAAAGAAAGTATATTTGCACTAAAGGATATTTTAGAATTAGTTATTAAAGCATTTTTTATACCAGCCTTAAATTTAAGCACAGATTCAGTGGATTAATTCTTTTAATCCATTTTGTATTTTCGATCTATATCCAATTCAATTTTGTTAGAATATCCTAAATCCTTTTAAATCATATCAAAAGCAAGCGAAGAATATTTAACAAAATAATGTACTTTTAAAATTAATGTGAAAAACTTAGATTTTTCTTATTATGTAGGCAAAAAAAAAGAGAAGATGTTAGCTTAATTTAGGTATGTTCTTGCTTTAATAAGAACTAATTTAGAAATTGATTAAGCATAAAAATTATTTTACATGGGACCTGAAATAAAAGATTTTATCAGATGTTTATAAGTAAGTCGAATGTAATAATTAAAACTTAACTTTTACTTAGATGAAATGAATGCTTCTGATTTTCATTACATTAATGCTTTAGTTTAAAAATGTCCATCAAACTTGAAAGTTCTTTAAATTCAAATAGAAGCAACAGAATAAAAATAGATGGAACTTATGCTTAAAAGATAAAGTAATTTGAAAGCTTTTTCCTATTCTTTTTTCTAGAAAATCTATAATTATCGTAATCATCAATAAATTTATTAATTAAAACTATTAATAATTGACAATTAATTTTTTAAATTAGATAAGTATACATTTGAAGGATTAAATTTTGAAATTGCAGGTAATCTAGATTTAAAGAATTGTTCCACATTTTTTGCAAATTTCTGTTCTTTGAGATTTTTTAAGTTAACTCTTATTAATAATAATACATTCCAAGAATTTAATTTTTTAAATAATATTAAAAGTAATTTGGAAAATCTAGATGTCACTTTTGAAAAAATCATAATAAATTTTTAGTCATTCCAATTTAATAATCTGAAAAAATTAAAAATGATTTTAAAAAACTGTGAATTTGATAAAGGTGTGCTTTATAACAATTTAATCAACATTAATTCAGATATACGAAAATATATTTATATAGATATGAGATTATGCAAAAATAAATTTGATAAGAAAGAGAAAACCGATTTAGTGAAAAGGTTAGAAATGAAACTATTTGATGCAACCATATTAATATGATACATACTCAAATATAATAGTTTTATGATTTTTCACATATTTTTGCTTTTAAAATTTCATTTTTCAGAACTTGAAATCATATAATAAAATAGGATTAAGAATTAAAATTAATTCAATATAAAAATTATATGTATATAATTTTTTAAAAGATCATATCCTCTTAATTCAAATTATTTAATTAATGAAAAATATTCTTGAATAAAAATCATAATGAATTAAGTGCAATATAAATTAAAGATTTTTTTAATATATAAATTTATTTTTTTAATTTATAAATAATCTAAAAATTGTGAATTTATATTACTGGATTGCGATGATCTACTTATTTTAAGCTTAGAGTTGAGAATATGAGTCTTATTAAGAATTTGATTAATTGATCAATCTAATCAATTTGATTTCTAAATAAAAAAATAGAATACATATGATAATTGTTTAACTTAATTTGTAAAAGTTTTTGCTAAATTCTTTTGTTTTAATTATTCATTTAATAACATAATTTATTTATTTTAGAATTATAAAACATAAAGTATTGTAAAATTTATAGAATACTATTTTATTTGAATATTTTCCTAAGATAATTTTGAAATTTGTTATAAGTTTATAAGATGAAATTCTGATTAACAAGAGGATCTCAAAAATAATATTGAAAAATCTATTCTATTAGCCATCTTATATTATCAATTTTGATATTAAGTGTTGAATTTCATCCAGATTAGTTTAGATGAGTAAATAAATAGGATCTAATTTATTGAAAATCCTAAAATATATTTAGGATGGTAAACAGTACAACAGAATTAATATATTAAAAACGATTACATTTTACTTTCTGCAGAATATTAAGCACTGATTCCAATCTATCTAAGAAGATTATTATACCTCAATAAAGAAATTAGTGATCTGATTGTTAATTAATTATTAATAATTGATGAAAATAGACAATCTTTATTAGATATATAGAAACACCTGAATAAATAAGTATTGAAGCAAGAATTGAAATAAATAATATAACGGAAAGAGAACTATTTGCATAGTCAATTGGAAATATATAATTTTTGTTATGAAGTTTGGGGCAAATTGAATTAATATTATGCAACTATTCAAACTATTTGATCGGTGCTGAATGGGTCCTTATAAATTGTTTCTCTAATTTATTTGAATAATGAACCTGATATTTTGATATCTGCATTAATAGCATTAACTGCAATAAATAGAATAATTTATATGGTATCATTTGTAGTATTTTAATAGCGTGTTTTTAAACAATTTTCACCTTTAAGATAACTGTCTTTTATTCTGTTATTTGCAATATTTAATTTTTTAAAGATGTGGGATTTCTTTATGATTTTTTTATTTTTAACCGTTAAGCAATTCTCTGAAGAAGGATAGAGGGATACTTAAAGTTCAAGAGTTAAGCCTCAAAATTTTAAGGTAGTATAGCTACTTCAGTATTTTAGTATGAAACGGTTTAAACTGATGTTTAAGAAGCTTTAAATAAAATTCTTTAGTTCTTTGTATATTTTTCATCTTTATCATCTAAGCAACTTAATGGTATTTGGGTAATGACTTTGGGTCAAAAAATAGAAGAAATTATATTAACAGTAAAGGATATATTAGAAGTTGTTATTAAAGACTATTTTATTCAGGCTTTAATTTTAGATTAATTTTTTTAATTTATGTTAAATTTGAGCTCAATATAAAATTAAATACGATTGGAATACCCTAAATCTTTTTAATTTTGTCAAAAGTAAGACAACAATATTTAAAAGAAAAATTTAAATGTGAAAACCTTAAATTTTACTAATAATGGAGATTTCAAAAAAATAGAAGTTGTTTAGCATAGTTTAGGTATGTTCTTGCTTCAATAAATACTATTTTAGAAATTGATTAAGCATAAAGATTGTTTTGTATGGGAGCTGAACTAAATGATTTAATAAGATGTTTAAATGTGAGTCCATTTTATTAAATAAAATTGAATTATTTTTTAGATGAAATTAATCCTGAATATATTCCTCAGATTAATGTATTTATTAAAAAGCGCCATACAATTCTTATAAATCCAAGTAGAATCTAGTAATGTACAATAAATGCAAGTCTGTGTAGAAATAAATAATAGTCTAACAGCCTTTTCTTATTCATATTTTTAGATTATACAATATTACAAAGATAGATCTCTAGTAGTTTAATAATAAACCATGAAAATAGATGAAAATTTTTTAAAGTTAGATAGGTATAATTTTGATTAGTATTATTTTGAAGTTTCTGTTAATCTTAATTTAAATAATTGTCAAAAACTCTTTAAAAAGTTTGATCAATAGTAAGTTTCAAGGCATCAATTTTCAATAATGCAGATATTCAGACTTTTGGATTTTCTTAGAATTTAAAAGTGAAGCTTTGGGGAATCTGGATATTACTTGTAAAAATATTAAATTAGAATTTAAACATATCCTCTTAAGAATCTCAAGAATTTTGAAAATGTGTGAATTAAACAAAGAGGAACTTAAAAGGATTTTATAAGGTTTAAATAACCAAATAGAGCTGATTGATATAGATTTATCTTAATTTTTGAAGCGTTTTTCAGCAATTGAATAGAAAGACTTAGTAAGATAATTAGAAAAGAATAAAATTGATGTATATTTGATGAGCAGAAGATTAATTAATTTGAAAATACTGGTGAAAAGTGGAAGTAGTAGGATTTTTTGAATTCAGAAATTAGAATTAATTGTTATAATCTAAATTTACTATAAAAAATTAAGAAATTTAGATAAAATATTGATAGTAAGATAAGTACTTTAAATTATGGAAATAATTAGCAGATCTTTTGAAATAGAATTTAGGAAAAATACAGTGAATTATATCAATTAACATATAAAATTTGACAAAAAATTTAAGACTTGGTAGTGTATTTGAAGAACAGATAATGTATGTAAAATTGGATTAACTAGAACTTAGTCGAATAAGTTAACCAATCGGAATCTTGAAACAATAATCATGAAAGCTGAAATCAGTAGAGAAGTAATAAAGGTGTGGGTTTGGATTATAAAATATCAAATTGAATGAAATTATTCCAAAGGCATAATATTCTAATATAAAGAAGTTAGGGGGTTATTAATAGTTACGAAACTGGTAGTATGTGTCTTCGCCCTGTTTGAAATTGAGATGAACATTGATAAATAGCATATTTTTAGTAAATCTAATTTAAAGAAAACGACTGCCTTATATTTATCTACTTAATTTATTTTATTTATATTCTTCAATTTGCTAATGAAGAATGCCTCTAATTGATATCAATTGTAAGCACAACATTTTTATCTTATCCTTATTCGCTAACACAGACTTCATCATCTATTGATAAAACATCCTAACTATCATTTCTCATTTTTAATAAATCAACTACTGTTTTATCTATAGAATTTATTAATTTCATATTAATTGGATTATCTAGATTTTTGAATAACTCCTTAAAGGCATATTCGGCATCAACAGCTCTCTGATAATCACTTTTTATAGGTTTTAAAATCGAATAATAATTTTAAGTTATCTTAAACTATTTTGAATTAGGATCTAATGGAATTGTAGGTTTTTACAGATAATCGAAAATCTTAATTTAAGGTTCGGTTAACAAGATCATTTTCAATTTATCTATTTCCTGCAATTTCTTCAAAATATATAAAATATCCATTTACTTAATTATTTTTTGAAAGGAGTATTAAATTTGAATACTTTTATAATTTTTGGAACTAAATAAAATATATAGTTTACTTAACAAAGCAATTAATGAAATATATGTAATCAATCCATTTCATTTTTAGCTTTTTTGAAATGCTATGAAAATATTATTTAATTGAAAATTAGATAGCTTTAGTTAATTATTGTTTAGCTTCTTCTTTTGATTAATGATGATCTAGTGAATCGATAATTTCCATTTATTTTTTCTTTATTTTTATAGATTATAATCTTTAACGTGGTATTTTGTTATTTTCAACAAATAATATTTCTTTAGTAGATTGTTATTATCTTCTAGTTACAAATTCTTATTATAGTGTTTCTGGATTATGATATACTTTTCTTTAATTTTTAATTGTGTTTTTTTATTCTTACTCAAATTCAAATAAGGAATTCAAAATTCTAACATAATAGGATAAAATATTGATTGGTTTTTATAAAATAAAGGCAATAGTAAAAAATACTTACCAAAGTCCACCCATTTGACTTAAGATTATTTAAATTTTAGTGTAGTTTCTATAATATTATTATTCAGTTTAATCTAATCGTATTACAACATTCATTATTAAGTCACTTTCATTTAAATCAATCATTTCCGTATGTCTTTTATATCTTAAGGTTTTTTAAACTTGGTAATTTTCATTAATAAGACCTAAATCTGTAAATACTGTTATTGGCTACATATAAAATGTTATTTCTTTAAAAATCTTACTAGAAATTGTAGTGAAAATATCTTCTGCTTTTGATAGAAATGGATAATCTTCATTTTTTACATCTATTACATATGATGACATTTAAAATGAAAAATAGTTTTATTCTAACTATTATTTAATTTCATCCCTTGATTTACATTCTTTTTATTTTTTAGTTAAACTGTTGCAAATTTTAAATTATAATAAAATAGCACTATAAACTTCAGAAACAAAGGTGCCTTCTAAATTTAACTCTTTAATTCTATTCCAATCAATACAATAATTAGTTTTTAAATCTAAATGAGAAAAATATTTTTATAATTCATCTTATCTAATAAGTTCTGGAGTGCAAGATGTTAAAGGAAGTTCTTTTTATGTCCATACATCAATTTTTTCATTATCAGTACTAATAATTAAATTCAAATTCATACATTCTAGAGGTTTTAGTTTAGATTTTGGCTTCTACAACATAGACTGATTCATCTATATAAGTATTAAAAGAAGAGTTTTAAATAGCAAAAGTTAAGGTAAAATTTTAATCATTCAAATTGAATTATTCAGGTTATGCATGATAAATCTCTGTTGACAGTGAACTTAAATTTTTTCTTTGTTACAAATCATATAGATTTATAATAAGCATGTATAGAAAAAAAGAAATTAATCCCAAAGTTAGGCAAGCACCAAATAAAGTTTTATGTCCCTATTCCTATTTTATTAATAGTTAAACAGGCTATGAAAAAATATCCACTTTTTTAAATATTCTCAGTGCCATTTTAAAATGGTTATTATTCATATTTATTATACTTCAAATAATTAACTTGCATAATTTGATAATTTTTTTGTTAAGTAACAAGCATCAAGGTTTATCTGGCCTAGCGACTAGACAAAGTTTAGAAACCTCTAATTAATTCTCCTAAGCCAAAGCAAATAATTAAAGATGAAAAATAAATTTTATAAAACTACCCTAATCGCCTATAATGTCTTTATAAGACAAATTTAAGATGAGGAGTTAGAAGTCTAATAGATAGTGATAGAATTACAGAATTAAAAAAAAGAATAGCTTGCTTCTCTATAATTTATTAATAAAGCAATATAAAGATGAGCCTATAGTCAAACAAGCTTTAAGTCAAAACCTACATCTGTTCTGAAAATTAAAAAAAAAGAAAAGATAAATTTTAAAGTTTTAAAAATTAATGATAATTTTTATTTTCATCATAATTTTAGGTTGATAATTCAAATTAATGAATAAAAATATCCATTCTTGATAAAAGAATATCATATATAAGCTATTAAAACTTTTGTTTCCCTTACAAATATTTAATCAAGTATCTCTGATTAATATGACACAATAGGATGAATCAGTGATTATTGAAAAAACAATAAATTTAAAAGGATAATAAATATATTGCAAATTATATATTTGAGGAATAATATACCATTAAAAAAGGTTTCAACATTATCAATATTGTTGCTATATAGTTTCCATCTAAAAATTTAATCATCACTGAGTTTCAATCTACTTTTAATTAATTAGGTTAATATATTAATCTAGGAATATATTTAAAAATTAAGAGATCACTTATGTTTTTAGGAAATCAAAGATATATAAAAGAATTATCAGTGTTTTCCATTTGAATTTTATGATTCTTCTGATTAGTTTGCTTTGAATGTGTAGGGGATTCTATTTAATTATTAGAGATAATTTTAGCATATCTATAAACATATATAAGTATTACAATTGAAACCATTAATTATTTATTATTATATAATTAAATAAGATTTTAAATAAATTTAGAACTTTATAAGCAAAATATATTCAATAATAAAGATATCATTTTGAACTTGGTTTATAATAAATAATTTGAGAGGGATATGTTTAGAAGATGGAGGAGGAAAAAATTGATTATTTGAAATTGAAAAAAAATATAAAGAGTAAACATAGTCGAACCTTTCAAAAACCATATTATGTTATTAAGAGAAAATTTATATTTTTTTGAATATTGTAATTAGATCATCAGGCTCATCTAAAATAGTAATACAACAAAAAAAGATATTTAGCATAAAAAATTAGAATTTAACAAGAATGAATCAGATTCAAATGAATACTGAATTATCTAACAATTTATTGAGTAGAGTTCATTGCACCTTAATTAAATAAATTTCTCATCTTGAATTATTTGAGTTTCCTGAGTTATCTCAGAGTAGACTGGAATCTTATGGTTTTTATAATGTAGTCCCATATTTTCTCTATTTTTAACAATGGGGAAAATTTGAAATACACGTGAATTTAATGAAAATAAATAAGGAAATTATTAATTATCAACCTAAAAATGATAATAGGTATGTATTAAAAATGATGAATCATAGAGAAAATAATTAAATCCCAATTAATAACTGAAAATAATGATTCAAGAATAATAATATGTTTTGCATATCAATAAAATCATATTATAAATTATTTCACTTATTTTAGAAAGTAGATGAAAATGATATTCCCAAATATAATTAAATTGAATATATTTTATATACAAACATTATAGCAATAATTAGGCTAAATGATAATATAACATCTTATTTTTTGTATTGCTTAAATTAAAGTTTTTAGAGCTTTAGCTGTTAATCTATTAAGGAATTCCTTAATGTTTTAATTTAGAATTGAGTTTAAAATATATATGACGTAAATTATATCTTCTATTTAATTTAAAAAATTTTCTACTTTATAATCAAAAAAGAATTAATGATTTATAAATTATTTTTAACTAAATAAATGATTTCTCTAGAATTAAATAAAGATAAATATAACTGAAAATATAAATTGGAACATCAAACACTTAAAGAGAATTTAGAACTTATAAAATAACTCTTAGATTTTATCTGATTGAATTGATGGATTAAAATATGATATAAGATTATTTTTAATAATTGATATTTTTGTAAATTATCAACTTTAAATAATAATACTAGTAAAAATTTCAAGTCATGAAACAACCTCAAAAATTAAATGCGTTACTAATTTTGAGATTTTATTCCTCTTTTTCTTTTTAAAGCATCTTATTTTTATTTTTTAATATATCATAATTACCTATTTAATGAAAATTCCTAATAATCCTGAAATGAGTAAATAAATTTAAGCAAAACCTAAAAGAGTCTTTTTTTACTCACTAATTAAAAAATTGTAATCTTTTAAATAAAATATTGAAGAAGAAGTAAATGTAATTATTGAAATTTCCATTATTATAATTTATATTTTATCTAATTTCTTCAAATTAAATTCAACAAAAATTAATGCAATTAAGTAAATAATATTTGTAGTTCCCAACATTAATATTTGAATCAATTAATGATTTTGAAAACATATCAAGAAATAGCAAAATAAAAATTATTTAAATAAATAAATAGCCCTATATCTATAATTCAATTTATGATCCTTTTTTGAAAAAAAATGTTTTAATGAGGATATAATAAAAGTACCTAAGGCTGACAAAGTCAAATAAGAAAAAATATTTTACATTCGAGAAATAATATCTTATTTAGAAGATGATGTTAAACATAAAAATGTTTTAAATAATAAATCCCATGAATTTGCAAGCAACAAATCCTTTGCACCATTTTAATTGAATTCATACAAAAAAGTCAAGATGTAATGAAAAAAATTATAAATCCAATAGAGTATTTTTATAAGGAATTTTGATTTAAGACTCCTTAGCTTAAAAATTAAAAAATGTTATGTTTAAATTTTATAGATTAATTTAAAGCTGATTTTGGAAATCGTTTGTATTGTTTTTACAAATATAAAAGTTGAAATTATTTAAATGAAAAAGAATTATAAATTAGTGATTAAATGGGCATTTAAATTATAAAATTTTAATTTAGCATAAGACTCAATAAATTCTAAATACAGAAATCTTTAATAAAATCCATTAATTTATAAATAATCTAAAATTGGAATAATACTTATTAAATTAGTTGATTCAAAAAAAAGGTATAGGTTTTCAGGATATATAATATTGATGTATTTTAAATAAGATTGATACTGTAAGTTGTCTAAGATTTCAACAAAAATTTCAAAATTTCCAGAAATTAATACAATTACACTTCCTATCCCTTATGCTATAATCATCGCTTCTTAATATTGAGTGAGTTATTTAGTCTTTTCAATATCTTATTGACTCATTTAAGAATATGTTTTAAGTAATATTTTCTCGGATGGATTAAGTAATTCCATTTCATTTGAATTATATACTTCATTCATAATTACTACATTAAACTAAACTAGGCTACTATTAGTAGAGATTAAGAGTTCAATTTATATTTGAAATGAAAAGTTTAGAAGTTAATTAATTACTGGTTCATAGTTTGATTCTAATTTTATTTAATAATCTTCATAGAGTGCTTCATCAATACTAAAATTAAAAAGAGATTCCAAAACATAATTATTTCTAAATTAGATTGCTTATGAGAATACAATTTCAAGATAATATTTATTATAAGTTTGATTTAAAAATTTGATTAGCATTTAAGGAGATTAAGAATATTGGCAATCAGAATAACTATTAGCTTTATCTTGACACTTATAATTAACTTCAATCTTACAATTAGAAGTACAACCATCAACATCAACAAGATTGCCATCATCACATTATTCATCATAAGATTTGATTCCACTACCACAGTCATCATAACATGCATTATTAATTAATTTAAAGTATTGCTAACACTCAATACAAATTCCTTCAAAACAATTTTCACAATATTGAGGACATGAAAATTCACAATTAAAGCATCCATCAAATTATATTTTATTTCCATCATCACATTACTCTTTTTATTATTTTATTCCATCACCACAAATTGAATAACAAATACCATCAATATTCATTTCTCCATTTGGACAGTTATCATAACAAATACCATTAATACATTTCTTACATCCATATCTACATGTTAATTAACATTAATAATTTATCTCAATATATGGTTAATCACAAATCAAACATGTTTAAGGATTTTTGCAATATTAACAATTTTCTGGACATAAAAACTTACAATTCAAACAATCATTTAAATTTGTATCACATTGTTCATAAGACCAAATTGCTATTTAATTATCTCCACAAATCTATAAGCATATCCCATTCATAAGTGACCAACCATCAATACAATATAAGCATTAAGAATTTAAACACTATAGACATTAAATTTGACAGCTATCATTACATTTATAGCATCCAATTTCTAATCTTGTTGTATGAATTCCATCTTCAAATACAAGTACACCTTTTGTAATTTTGGAGATACATTAATTTTTTAATAGAAAATGGTTAATCAAACATTTTTTACATTATCCATATTCACATCTTTCACAAAATAAGGGACATCTAAATTCAAATATTTGATTATTCAATTTTATTCTTGATCTCTCAAGATTGCATATATCATTAAAATAAGTATCAGAAGTATCAAAATATGTAAATAAATTTAATTCCTAAATAAAATATTCACTTAAAATTGAATCTTATTTATCACAATTTATATATCTAAATTATTTTTGTATTTCTAAGCATTTTCTATTTATTAATTCATATCCTGGATTACATTGCTAACAAGCTCCAAAGCTACACTATAAACAATTTAAAATGCATTAAAAATAACAATTATAGCATCCATCATGAGGTAAGTTATTTCCATCATCACATTCTTCATCTTATTAAACTTTTCCATCTCCACATTACGCTATATCAGTCTAGACTAGGTAGTTATATTCAACCTGAGTAATATGTTAAATAAGTAAATTTTCATAGATTTGATTACATATTCTATTAGAATAAAAATATCCAGAATTACACACCTAACATTAGCCAAAGATACAATTTTAACAATTTAGAGGACATGAAAATTAGCATTAATGACATCCGTCAAAAGGAAGATCATTTCCATCATCACATTCCTCATTTGCAGTAATATATTTATCTCCACATAAAGGTACACAAATTTAATGAACAGAATTATACTCCCATCTAGTATCACACATCAAACATTCTCCTTTAACACAAAATACACAACCTTCTAAACATGATTTTTGTTTAGCAAAACAACCATCAAAAGGTACCAAATTATCATCAATACATGATATTAAATTTATTGGACCTCTAAGAATTATTGATAATTCACGGATGCCTACTTTGCCATCTACACTATATATTTCTAATTTAATTAAATTTTTTGTATCATCTAATTACCATGTTCTATAATCCACATACTTTTTATAACTGATAAGTCCATATTTGTATTCGTCATTTATATAAATACTCACTGTTATTGGCAACACTGATAAATATTCAATTCTAAATTGAATAATCAAAGATTAATGATCTGGTAGTGTAAGATAAGTTATTGCAGAATTATATTAATTTAAGACAAGCATATTCAATTAAACTATAATATTTAACAATTTTACGATCATTTGTTGAGTATGTAAAGGATGGAAATTTATTTCTAATCCATCCTTCTAAACCATTATCAAGATTTTATAATTAAAAAAAAGATTGCCACAATTTCCACAAGTTGCAATCAACTGTTGAATCTAAACAAAATTGACATCCTTAGTAACATTCATTTAATGTAATCTAGAAATTAGTAAGACCCCAAAAGTTCTTAAGATAATAATAATATAAAATACATTGTTATTACAATCGGAGTATAATTCAACAATTATTGAATTTAATGTATGTAATGGAAAATCATTATATTATGAAGTACCATAGTCTGTACCAGGACCACCACATTAATTTGATCCTGTATTAGACGTAAAATACCATGACTAAGTCCATTAATCAATAATTATGTAAAAAAGTTGTGTGTTTGGCCAATCATCAATTCTTAAGATATATTTATATTAAACTTCCAGAAGGTAATATCAATACGCACCTTGTAATGTGGTGGCAACATAAAATATTTCATCATTGAAGTTTAAGATGTGCTGCATCCAAATATTTAATATCCTCCAAATATAGTGTTTACTCCACAACTATATGTACGACTAGACACTCCATTATAGGGATTTTTGATTAACCAACCTAAATCAATGATTAGATATTTACCTTCATCATCAGTGTTTGATGGAGTAACGAAATGTTAAAGATAGTATGCTTCAACAATTATTCTTAAAAATTGAAAAAGGAGGAACTGAATAAACATTAAATAAATATTAATGAAAATAAAAACTAAAAATAAGCAAATAATATTGATGGAATAGATCCAAACAATGATTGTTTTAATTAAATAAAATAACCATTAGTATAACTATTGATTTGTTTAATTTGATTGAAAAAGTTGAATTTCTGTTATTATAAGAGAATTTTTGAATAATCAATTATTCATGACATTTTAAACGGAAATATTTTATTTAAATATTATTCCATTTAAGGATCAGTTGAGATATCCTCCTTTGATTTAGTAAGTATTCTTAAATTTAGTTAATTCTCTTAATTCAACATATTCAAAATAACTTGATTCTATTTTATAACATATATAATTAACACCTAAATTTATTAATTTTCTGTATAAATTCCAGAATCTAAATTAATTGAGGATATTTTCAATCCATAGCCCAATATTTCAAAATATCTATTTGATAATTTAATATAAAATGACTAGAAACTAATCTAGCATTTAATAATTAACTCAAAAAAAAATAAGCCTCTGTATTTTAATCCTAAAATCTTTCGAAAGATAAGATATT